CCGATGGGCACCCTTCGCCCGTTACGAATGATCTTTGGTTTCCCATAGACACAATCCAGACAGTGCGAAGTTAAACGCCCGCTCATGGAGCTCACCGCACAAGAAAAGAACACCCAGTTCCAACTTCTTGGGCCATTGTGTACCCGCATGGAGATTCGTCACCTGTGTTACTCTATACATTCTATGCATTCAGAAAGTAACGAAACAATTATGCTATGACGTATTGAAGTTACAAGCAAAAAGGCACGCGATCGGTTTAGCTGCTGTTCTGTTAGCATATTCGAATATAAACTCCATTCAATTAAAATAATGTTACACCAACATATGTAACTAATATATGTATTATAATATATGTATTACCGTTCAGAATTGATGAATGCTTCACATAGCCAACCCAGCCCGTTTTAAGGGATCTACTCAAAATCTCTACAGAAGCCACGCTATATATATATATATATATTAAAAAGTGATCTCGTTCTTAGCAAATGTCGTTTACTGGCTATATAGCGTCTTTTTTATAAGATGGCATCTTTTTCGTAGCAAATTTTTAACGCTATCATCCTGTATCAATGCGATTATGCCAAATTTTTCTTCTGCAATCGTATTCTCGTCGCTCCATTTTCCATATTAGGCTGTAGGAGGATTGGGAAGGGAGTTTGTTGCCGAACTTCTGTATATTCAAGCAAGTGTTCCTTAACTAATTCTTTCTTGAAGTTAAGACCTTTTCCAATCAATGTCTACAACACCAGTGGCCCTCATACGCAGTACAAAAACTTCCAAGCAGTAATATCTAAGACTATGCTACGTCTAGCGTTGTTATATTTGCCATTCTCTGGAAACGCTAAAACTACGTTCTGCTGTTTATGGTCGAGTTCTCAATAGCGTAAACTTTATAAAACTAGAGGTCTTGCAAAGGCAAAAATTACCATGTTTAACGACATTTTCCTAAATCTCGTTCAACGTAAAGAGCCGGTCTAAATGCCTTCATGTAATTCTATGCTACAATCTACCGAAGCCATCCGCACCTTATACAACTTTTCAATTATCGAAACGTAGGCGCGTTCCTGACTATCCAACTGTTCCGTTTCCATTTAGGCTCATCTTGTCGCAATCGTCCCGCTGGCAAGTGCCCGCCACAAGATTTTCTCATTAGTCAGTATGGTACCCCAAAGATACCAGAGGCACCCAGACGACGTGGGTATGCAGAGGTGCGTTGCACCATCAAATCTAGCCATTCTGGACATTGTTCCTTAGAGATCTACCTTAGTTGTCAGCTCTGTGTGCTTTATCCAATTCCGCGCGGCATGCCAGAACTCGTCAGGGTCGACCTCCGTCGTTTCGTGTTGCCCTTATTTCTTCCTGTTCCTCGTTGTAGTAGTAGTTATACAAGAAGCTGCAACAGTATTGCAATGACAGCTAACACTACCGAAACTATTGCAATTAAACTCATGCCAGCGGGCAAGCTATCGAATGTTGTTATTAGAGAAGAACGCAAGTTTTTTGACGCCTGTCTATAACCCACGTAATATATAAATAACTCAATGGACATTTTTTTACCTCACTGTCTACTCGTGTGGCCTATTGCGTCAGCTAGGTGGCTGCAACGGGAACATTGGCAACAGGCGAAAATTGTGGCAACTCCTGGACCCCGCCACCGATGGAACTGCTTCTACGCGCTAAAACATAGCAAAAAAGGAATTTCGATTTCTTTCCTTAGTCTCCTAACATCAATATATATATACACACATATATATATAAATGACGCTTAACATATAAATATAGTTTATAAAAGTGGTGAAAGTACACTGTATACGTGTAATATACATGTTCGTAAAGACGAAAAGGTTTTCGATAAAAGGAATTTATCGGATACCATTGGCTCACTTTCTACTTCGATGGCTACACAAAACCGCGTTTAGCAGAACGGAGTCTGGCGAATAGTAAGTTTGGTCCGTTTCGCCATTCCATATCGTACGGTTATTTCTGTTGTACGCTCCCGCCATATAGGAGCTGTCCTACTCATTACCTCTCATTTTGTCGACGCAAGCAGAGTAAGATTAACGGCGTCATAATCAGTTCTTGTGCATCATGTATTTAGGTTTACCTGTAATCCAGTCCCTACTTCACCTAAATAAAAGAAAAAGTGTACTCTGTTAAAACCGGCCCCTCTCTAAGCGATTTCTCTGTTACAAGTGACGGGACAGGAGGCCTTCAAAAGATTTCTCATGGAACAGCGGGTGGATAAAGACTGCAGGATGTCTTACAAACCTCTAGAATCACCACCCTCTCTAGTGGAGCAAGTGGGACATAAGCGACGACTGATGCTGGAACCCGCGAGGCCGAATACAGAGTTAACCTACCACAAAGTATTACCGTGCTGCCGTAAAATAGATGACTTCTGTTCAGAGTGTCTCGTCATCTTCGCTATACATAGGGCCAACTCCCATTTTCACTGTCACAAAACTATAACCCCGTTTCTGTCGTCTTACTTCTCAAATGCTACGAAGCCCTCCGCACTTCGCTCTAACGCCTTCTCATACGAATCTTCACTTTAAATCGGACACGGCAAAGGCACATATGCACAAACACACGCATTCATGTTTATTACTGTGCAAGAGTTTCTCCCCTGACTAAGCATCTGAAGAACGACGAACTCATACAGCATACTGCTGGCTGTCATTAACGAAGTAACCAAACAACTACCTCGTCAAATATTCGCAAGTTTTCGCGGCCCTCACTCTACATCAACTTAAGAGAAGGGAGTAGATCAAATAATTCACGCCCTTCATCTATGCGTTCCTTTGAAGCTACAGATCGGCTGACTGGACGACCGAACTACCTGTCGATGTCCGTTACCATCCACCTGCGATCAGCGTGCATAGCTACCTCAACCTCATTTTGGGCAATATATATTGTTATACATAGCAACTCATACGTACAGACAAATATATGTATAACGACTGAGGTCCATTCTTGTAACACGTCATGCAATTTTTCTCCTAATATCTACATCAGCACGCATCGAAATCGACACGGAAGCGAAACATGTGTTGTAGCAATGCTTAGCCAGTTCGGAGATGTGAATTTGTGTACGGTAATACAGAGCGTAAGTGGTCGTTTATAAAAAAGAAAGAGAGAACTTGTATCCGTTGAACCTGTAGATCGAGTGAGCACCCTGTACTCTGGCATTAGACACCGTGTACAGTAACATTTCGATATAACGATGGATCGTCATATTGTAATTTGGGGTAAGTCATATGGTATGGTTGTGAAGGTTATCGGTTTTGATATTAGTCTGGTCTATACATTTTAGATACGATAGGAATACTTACGACGGCATGTGGCTAATTATAGAGGTAACAGAATAGGTGCGAACATCTAGTGCGAACAACAGTAATCACGATACGGTGGCGCGTCTTCGTTCTCGTATTCGTTGTTTCATCATGTTCGGTGCAGTCATAAGCGTGATGAAAACAATGGTATGATGTGGCATGTACTTTGTTGTTAAGGTTCGAAAGCCCCCCTTTTCGTTACTACACACACACAAACACCCGTATATATACGCTGACACGAAAATAGTTTCTCGTAGCAGCAATAGCGGTAGCAATAGAAGCTTTGCCGATACGGTTCAATTTGCTGGGAATGTTGTCCACTTATACTGCTATCCCTGACACTTAAAACATACCTAACACTTACTAATATGGCTATCACACAAATCGAGGTTTAGCAGCACACATAATGAACAAACGGATTTCTTCAGCATTTACGAATTGTCGAAACCCGTCATACCAATAGTAGTGTAATCCTGTAGCGTTATGTTGCATTGGCCAGCTCTAGCATGGTTAGAATACCGCAGATGACCGCTGATCGATGACCGACCGGCACGAGTACCGCGACACGCTAGAGTTAGACGTAGTTCTTTTTGTAAGAAGCATCTCTAGTTAAAGTTTTCGACTTCATAGAATATTTACATTTGTTTCAGCTGTTCGGCGAACGAGTTATCGGCCCTTTCCAGAGATACATTTATATTTATATAAGTAACAACAAAGATTAGCAGAGGCTAACAGACGTGGCGGTCATTCGCGAGGTCGAAGCCAGGGCCATGGGTAGACACGCATACAAATAATAATGAGCTACATCTTATTCGGGAAGTCGGTAAACCATGCTGGTGTGCCCCGGTTGGTAACTCTGGCGCCTGAGGACGAGTTGCATGTGTTTGCTGTTTAGCTGCATTTTCTCAGTCGAGTTCGGCAAAACAAAATATTTGAAAGAATATCAATTTCAGACCAGCCACCTCAGGCGAGGTGACCTGCCGCATCTGAGAACGGGTGACGATTTTGCATAGCAGCATTGTCAGTGGTGGCGGTGTTGTAAATGGAAGGTATCGAAATGAGTAAATCGGGGCACAATGCCTGATGCCCCTTGAGAACATACGTACACTGAAAATGCAATGCTAACAAAAATCTAATCTGCAAAGCCTTAGAGAAAATGCCACGTACCGGTCTATCAATGAATGAATTGAACGACGAATGAAAAAATAGTTTTCCAGAAAAAAATTCGTAGTAGAAAATAACGTTCACCCAAAGAAAATATGGAACAATTATTGAGTTATGATAAGCTTCAATATTTTTACAATATAGTAGACGCCACATTGTGGAAGTCATTTCGAATGTGCGGTGACCCAGCCAAAAGATTGGTCATGATTGGTATTCGATATAAAGATAATAAAGGAAAAAGATTGTTCAAAATATAATTGCTATGTGTAGGGAAGTTTAATTATTCCTTCCGAAAAAATTCCTTATGTTTTAGCAATCACTACTTACTTCAGACAAACGTAGTCAATCAAATCAGCATGAACATTGTTCTCTATTGCTCTCTCTCTATACAAACTAATATACATTCGAATGCGTGCGCAAACATTCGGTTTTCTTTCTTCATTGACATCCTAAATTTACTCTTATATGCAAGATAAAAAGAAACAATAATAACAATGTACTCACTTAGACTTTTAGAGTTCTTCACTTTACTCCGATTACTCCGACTCTCCGATCCAAATTGTGCACTTAACCAACTCGAGAGTTTCGATGCTGATCCAAAGTTACTAAACGTTGAACTTTTGTGAATTTTCAATACCTTTAGTTGCTCCATAGCACTTGTTGTTTTGCTGGCCGTCGCAAGATCCGTACTAGCTGTTGTATCCGTCGTTTTGAAAGCACTCGAAGGATTGATATCTTGTTGACACAATTGATGACTTCCAGTCAAACGATCGTCAACAAGAGCAGCAATACTTTGTTGCAGAGCCTTATCGCGCAATTTTTGCTTCGGTTGTTGTTTTTGCTGTTGGCCACTTGACGCAATATTATCACAGCTGCTGCCCGTAGCACCAGCGTAGTTTTGATGATCTGATTTACGTGAAAAAATACTGTGACGAGTTGGCTTCCAAGGGAAATCAATGGCGTTTTGTTCTTGCAGCAACAATTTATTACTACTGAATAGGCGATTGTTGGGCGTTTGCCGATTTGCTGCTGCTTCTGTAATTGTTATGTTTAACTCCGGTAGAATTTTTTGTTGCACATTTAGATGCTCAGCGTATTGTTGTTGCTGTTGTTGTTGTCTGGCCGCTATAGTTCGTTGAGAAACATTTGGCTCGTACTGATTATTGTTATGATGATGACGAAATTCTTCGTCCAAGTCCTCGGAGTTTTCTGTGACGTATTGCGTGATGTTTGAATATAATAATGAATTTTTATCAAGGACGCCAGAGCTGTTAATTGTTGATGATGGTATCTCGGCCAGTACAGCTGCTGTGGAAATTGTTGTTGTTGTTGTTGTTGTTGTTGTTGTTGTTTCTATCGATGCTGTTCTCGTAGTTCGTAGGTTTCCGCTTCTTCCGCCCGTGTAAGGGAGTCCGAAGTTTATTCTACCACTAGTCAAGTGGTCCACTTGGTCAACGTCAGTATCGGATTTTCTGTCATAGTAATCCTGGCCAGGGCTTTTTGAACCTTCGACCGATTCTCGGAATGTGGTTGTTGCAAGTAGATCCGAGGGTGGCGTGCCACCGATGGGTGAACTTGTCACAGTAGAACTATTGCTGTTGCTGTAAAGCTGCGATTGACTGTTCGGCTGTTGGTATAAGTGGTGATTGTTGTTTGGCTGGTGATTCTGATGATGTGGGTGATTGAGTTGATGTTGCAGATGATAATGATAAACGGTAGTGACTGGATCAGCGAGTCGCTCTCCCAACTCCTCCTCAGCGCTCTCCAGACTACTGCACCCCGTACTTCGGCGCATTCAGATTGACCACCGAGGAACGCCACCCGCAGTAATCACCACCAACAACAACAATAATGGACGGATGGATGAACGGTCGTGTCAACGGCGACACAACCCGCGAACGTGATTAGCCCCAGCGATGTGTGCCACGGTAATGGAGTTTACCGTACACCAAGTTGTTGATGAAGAACAGGAAGTATAACAATGGGAAGGAGTTGCTGGTAATGATGAGCAACGATCGAATACTGTTGATGTCAACAGAGAACAATATGTAACGGTATTCACAACGAAACTCTTCCGGTACAAGTAACGGCCACTCCTTTGATGTGTGCGAAAGGCGAAACGTTTCGGTTATTATGGCAACGGAAAAACGTTAGCAACCGAAACGAGCGATATGGCTTGATCATCTATCGCATCGACTATTAAAAGCGAACTAAATATTGAAACGCCACGATGATATAAAGCCAACATACACGCTCTAGAGCTTGACATAAAATGGAGAAACAGGTTTGACATATAGTGTATTAGCTGGAACTGTAATCGTGACAATCCATACAGAGACACAAATAAAGATGTAATCCATACAAGTTTAACGCAAGCGAAGCAATCAGTTCTGATTTTTCACCTTCCGTTTAACGAACTTCCTAACGAAGAAAACGCGTCAGATATAATTTACTACTTCAAGACATAAACATCGAGTGTGACACAAATAGACTGCATCTGTAGCAGACTCTAGCTTGCTGGCTTTCTTCTGCTATCGTCCGCTTTGAGGCAAACCACTGTAGCAGTCGATGACAACCAAACACACACGATGAAGATGAAGTAGTCAGCAGTTGCACCAGCGCTTCCCTCGATGCGATAAGCACGACCCTCAACGACTGGCGTCAAGGCTAACTGACGTGGCGCAACCAAAAGGTGATTCTCATTCGATTGTTTCGGCTTTTGTTGCACGAATCTCTGAGTTCTCTCACGCTTTTTCTCTTTTTTCCCTACCTCTGCGCTTCTTGTGATCAGGTACGCACTCCGGACGGAAGTATGGTGCCTGGCAAGTATTTGTATTATATTTGTTAGCTGCTGCGGGAACACATAGGCAAAATGAAAGAGTCGCACGAGAAAGGTGACAATATAATGCTGCCTCGTTCTTCTGAGTGTCGGCCACAGAACTAAATCAGCGAGAGTGTACTTAGATGATTGTGTGACATTTGTAATAGGCACGGAACGACAATACTGATAATACCGATGGCCCGCTGAAGGCAACTAGGCAAATGAAAGCGAACCGTCCCTTAGAGACTTCTTAGCCTTGTCCACTTGATACCAATTATAACTCGGCCACTTCCAGATTGAGTTGACACTGTCGAATGCTCGGTACGCTAATAATCATCTCCGATCTTCTATATTGTCCAGTAGACCAACAACTATCTACACGTCGAGCAGTAAGTGTTAAGCCAACAATAATTTCAATGCAACAGCTTTCAATGATCTGTTCGATAGCTCAGGCGTTTGCAGCGGTAAAAAAACGTTTCAAGGGCCCAGATTGTATTCACAATGCAATAATAATTATTGGATTGCCATTACTCTTTTTGAGTACTGTTATTGTTATTCATATTATTGATATGATTACTTGTATAAACCTTGTTTTTTTTTTTCTGATTTTTGAACGACTGCGCTGTTCCTCCAGTTTCTTCGATAGCTTTGGATAGCTTCAATAATAAGTCATTTTCGTCATAGCATTTTTCACTCAAACCAACAAACGAGCTTTTTCCTCTTCCATTATCTCCATTCACAGACGGTCCATGCACGTTGCCTTGTTGTCAGTCATAAACCACTTCTTTAACAGGTGTACAAGCCCATAGCATGCCCGCGTCAGCTAGAAATCGTATAATCACAAAGTGACAACAAACATACTATTATTGAGTGAGATGAACCTGACCTACTAGACGCCGCTGCGGTAATGCTGTAACAACAACATTTGATACCAGTAAAGATACAGACACTGCAAATAAAGTGTCGTGCACTAGAGATAAAGTTCTCTGCGCGAGATGCTGACAAAGTCGTATAGATCGTGATGATTGACGTTGACGCTGCATTGGTATACCGGCGTATATGCGCGGTAGTCGCTGTAGCAATTAACCCAGCCTATTTATAGTTACTGGTTATTAATTTAACAACGATCTGGTCAGTTAGTTAATTCAGCTCAATACTATTACCCTATTATTAACGTAATCACCGCTGGTTGACACGCACGCAATTAACATTGGTGGCTGTTGTTGTTGTTGTCCGCTTTGCTGATAGCATGCCTTGCCTACTCTCTTGTTTGGTTATCGTCGTCAATGTCTTTCTTAGTGATTCGTGGTTCGAAGTCATTTTTTGTTGTTTGTTCGTGCACGTCCTTGTTAGTTTCATCCGTATAGCTGAGGCCACTGATGGTAGTGATAATGCAATTACACAACAGCCTTTGAACTGAACCGAGGTTCGACTGAGCCTTTATCCTTGCTACAACTCCATAGCTACTAATGGTAGCCATTTACACCCTTCTACTCGACTTACGAATATTGTGTAGTGATATAGTCAGGCGGATCGGCAAACTAACTGATTGACTGACTCAGTAACTGACGCTCGGGACGCAAGGACCGGCAGAACGTTGACGAAGCGATGATTCTTGCTATGAGTCCAGACGGCAGAAGCAGTTCTTGCTGTTGAGAAAAATGATAGTATGAGACGGCGTACGTATTTCTGATTTGACGAATTTTCGATGAATCCGCCGTTGGACCAATCTTGCAGCAACAGTTCCTTCTTCTTTAGTGCCGACAACGCTCGATTTAACGAAGTTATGACTCATACACATACAGAACGTTCATAAGTATCTATATTAGACCCACGCTGCCTTTTATACGGAAAGCGCTAAAGCCTGGTCGCGCTTGAATTCTTCGTGGAGAGATTTCTCGCTGGGATATGCCAACGAGTTAGGATGTATATTGGACAACTCGTATTCTGCCCCCAACATCCCTTGTTTGTCTGTCCAACCATCAATTGTTTCCGCTTTTTCCGATCGCCAGGCTGACCCCTTGAATAATCAGCACCTCGCTAACTCTCACACTTCATTAGCTTGTAATGTAGTACAACTTCACGCGACCCCTTACTACCAACCACTTGCAGATATATGGACGCACGGCAGCCGTTGTGCAAAAAGCAGCTTGCTTCTAGAGTGACAATGCTCTTTGCTGTCTATGTCACAATTTTCGTCTCTGCCGGCTGTCTTCTTATTTATCTTCTCTTTCTTGTCAATGTCTGTCGTTCGAAGGATTCACCAACGGTGTACGTTAAATCCTAGCGTTGTTCCCTTTACCATTAGTTACCGCCAAGAACTTCTTCTACCTGTAATCCTGCCATGCAGCGATTTGAACACAGACATCTACAGACGCACGTAAGACCCAAACAAGGGATGCGACACGCCATGACGCTGTATTGCACACTGTAGTGATGGCACTCTGAACAACGTTTGCTTGCGACTTCAGTTACATAGATCCTGGTTACTGCTTTATATATTGCTTATATAGTCAATGCTGTTGGCCTTCGTTTCTCTTGTTTTCTTGTACTGTCTGATTGTATGCGCACAATTATACCGCTGTACGAGGACTATGAAGACACGCGCATCGACGGAAATGACGTGAAAACGTGAAACATTTACAACTCGTCCGTGAGTCTCAGCATGTGTGATTTTCGTAGAGGTTCACGCTACTATTGAAAGAACAAACACAACGTCTGGGATGCGGACGTGTGACGGTGGCTTATGATGTTCGAACGTGCGCATACAATAAGCAGTTTCACTGACGTATGCGCAACCGAGTAGGCAATGTATCAGAATATTTTTTTGTAGACAACGGATAAGGGGAGACATTGAGGCGGGAGATAACGCTGTATCTTCTGCACTTCGTAATCGCTTTGCTGTAGAGGAAATTGTTGCTATTTTTCTCGTTGTAGCCACAATAGCAGAAGTGTACGCGCCTCTTGCTTAGTTCCTCTAATCGCCATGTTTTGTTGTGATTTCTCGCGGGACTTCGAGGGGGTAAAGACAATTTACATATCCCAGCTCTTGATTTATTGCCGTTACAGAGTCCAACTGCAAGGTGACTTTATCCCAGGTGGCCTATACGGATACACGAGATGCTCGACGATCTTCTTAATCTCACGATGTGTTCTAAGTGTAACAGCGTTTATGATTTGTCAGTGCCAAGTCCGCTTTGATAGGTAGGGTCCATCATTATAATCAACTTATTTCTTCACGCTTTTACTATAAAGTAATAGGATACAGAAATTATGCTTCCAATAAACCGGCCTTCATCTTTTGATTAGCTGATGGTTGACTATCTGTGACTGCTATAGCTGCTCCTCCGATCGCCAGTTTGACCAGGACGGTTGTCTATGGCCTGATAGTGGTTGGTCGGTAGCTCGGCCTGCTCGCTGGCTGCTTGATATTGGTTTCCTCGTCGTTTTTTTGGCCACAGATCGCTCAGCTTGGTCATTAAGGTTGCTGCTGGCACCAACAATCGGCAGACGCCGACCTCCTCGATAAACTGCTACGGAAGCCCTCTGAACGTGGCCCACCGATTTCGCGCACCACTAAAGGATACTAAACAGCATTGATATCAATACGCAAGTATCACCATGAATGTAACAGGAATCGAAGGGTGCGTTGAGTTGATTTTCCGCGTCTGCCGCAACCCAGTGCAAATCGGCACTGAACAGGTGCACGCCTTTAGACACAAACGTATCCACTAAGTGAGCATAGACACCATCGACACAGATGCTTCTACGAATGCGATGTCACCAAAGAACATTTCATAATACGCATAACAGCTAGAACCGTCTTTCTCTCTATCTAATCTGTATTATGTGTAGCACAGTGACTACAAGCCAACGACAATGCGCGACTTTGTCGTATAGACGCGCATTGTTCGTACTGTTTTGTTCCCTTTCTCACGTCTCTATCACGATCTACCTGTCGACTTCCTGGCGCCTTGAACACTTCCTTGACAATTACGGTACGCAACACACTTGATTCTATTAAACAGTTTTTCGTAAATCTCGGCGTATCGGATTCAGCTGGCCGTCCTCTTCTGTTATTAGCGAGAGTAAGTTCGAATTTCGGTGATGTTGGCCAGGTCAATTAAAACCAGTTGATCTCGCCGTAGAAGTTGATGTAGCTGCAAAGAATTCTACTAACTTCTCTGTTGCTGGCCTTATCGCCACTGAATAGACACATACATTGTGCTTCGATTAGTTCTTCTCTACTGTGTGGGCGGTAGCGTTGTGTTAATGCCGTTCTTCTATATTTGCTGCGTACAACTGTAATGTTGTTATTAACGACGTGAATATGTTGTGTCTGAGTCAGCTGGCTGTCTTTTTGATCCTTAGCCGATCCTATTATTGATGTCGTTGCTACTCACAACGTCTCCGTTCGTCAGCATTCGCCCGAAGATGTCGATAACGTCAGATCTGTACAGACAACAACGAACGTAAGGACGGCAAAGGCAAGGCAGGCCGTCTGGTAAACCGATTAGTCGACCAATCGGCTACGAAGGCAACACAACAACTCAAACGCACGCGCATAAACAGTGATAATACCCACAGCGACCCGCAATGACAACAACAGTCGCACACGTTCCGAGCTAGTAGGAGTAGATGTAGCCGAAATAGCACGCCCCACCAGATTCTGTTGTTCGGATAGCTACAATGGCAAATAAACTAGTTCAAATTTTGTTATTAGTTTAGGTTTTGGTCTCCTATGTGCGCTACGAGTGTCGTCGCCTTGACAAGCTACAGTGTGAAACGGGTTGTCCTTGGAGCGGTAGCGCCTGATACACTTGCAGCGACAGTATTAGTGTAGAGTATTTCTCGAATAGTAGGTCTTGTTATGATGCCAGTGGGAAGGGGTGATTCGAGGATCCATCTGCGATGCGTTCACCGTCACCTTCGCACCGTCACATAAACGGTGCTGCCACACGGAGCAAACGACAGTTGCCACCATTAGTCATGTTGCCGTCAGCGACGCTAGCGGCGGAACCATTATCCGATTCAATCTACCGTGAGACAATTAAAACAGTGACATCGACGACAAAACACACTCAACACACACACACGCACGCTCACTCACTCAGAAACACACAGAGGTCCGGTACGCAACGTGATTCCCTTGTATGTTCACTCGATCTTAAGCACTGCTGTCGCTGTTTTAATAGCGGCGACTCTTCCTTTTCGTGCACGCATATACTTTTGTCTTGTGATGGTGCTGCTATATCTAATTCGGAAGCTGATACTGCCCCTGGTCGAACGCAGAGCAGCTCAGCGCTGCTCACCGACATATATCGCTTAGTCGGCGACCCAGCCGCGAGTACCCCCACAAAGAAGGGTTGGGTCAATGGATTGTTCTCTCTGTCTGTCTGTCTGACTGACTGGATTGTTTGTCCACCCGCAGTAGCAGGCGACTAGGACAAACAAATAGATAGGACAACAGGCAATCACAGACTGGCAGGCAAGCTCACCAGCTCACCGCTATCATTTGCACGACTCTGCCTTACCACTACAGCCGTCTCCGTATTGACTTCTACTGCTCCAATCACAGCCACTGTGGTCGTTCAGCTCACTCCGCTGTGGCCGGCTCTCGTCAACGACGATTGCGAGAAACAGCAGCGAATAGAGTGAGCGAGCCTTCTATCCGGCTGTTACTGCTGCTGGCACCGCTACTAACTGTTCTATTTGTCGGAAACTTCTGCTGCCATGAGCGACTCGGCTCTCAGCCTAGATTAACAACAACAGCGATGACAGCGAACAGAACGACTCTGCTCCATTCTTAATGTTCAACTCTTAAATGCGCAGACACATCGCTGTAGCATTTATGGACAGTACGCACGCCTAGAAGGTAAGAACCGGTGATATGTACGGGCAGGCTACTACTGCTTTTCATGTTGGTGTTGCTTCTGCTGCTGCTATTGATATTGTGAGAACATTAGTCGTGGAAGAACTGGTTGGATAGTGTTGTGCTTCTTGGGTTTCTAGATGGCGTCCGTCTATGTCTCTCTGTATTGCTGTTGCGCCTTTATTAGTGCATCGTCTGCTAGCCCGCAAGAGTAGGGTAAGAGAGGGTGGACTCGTGTTTGGCTAGAGGTAGCGATGGTAACGGCGGAGGTGTAGCGCCTTTATCAACATACATCCACTATGGAATTACACGGAGAGCGAGCCTACAGCGATTGATAGACAAAAACACAGGCGTTTAATGCTTTTGAATGATTGGTCAACGGCAGGTTCTAGCGACAGAAGCTAAGATCCGACTAAAGCAGGGCATGGATAAAAACGACGACGGCGGCGGCGCACCGACAATGATAGAGACGATTTTGGCAGTTCTCCCTCTCTTAATTCTGTGGAAAAGGGAACCCCTTTCCGAGCCAATCAACGTGGGAGTGTGAGTCTTTCTGGCGGGAGGTAACGGGTAAATGGATCTGTGTTGCAAAACGCTTACTGGATAGAATGCGAACTACGAGATGGCGTCTGGGTGTAAGGAGAAATGCACGCGGACACACTAAGTTCGGAATTCTTTTCTTGCATTCTTTATATTTTTAATGCTTTTCTTTTCTTTACGTTTTGCAATGTTTACGTTTGTCCTTCAAGTGTTTGAATGCTACCTGACAGAGATGAACAAATGAGTTTGAATAATATTTTTTATATTTGACATGTAAAATCTATATGATAATAAAAAAACAGATTTATTGAGATTTATTATTTTTTTAAATATTTGCTATACAAAAACCTATATAATAATAATTAAAAAGAACAGATTTATCGGGTACAATTGTCACCGAATTGTGTTACGCAATAAATTTAGATCCGTAGCTACAAAAAAACCTGCATTCTAAAAAAACTGTTTTGGAGAATGAAAGGAATAGTAAGTCAAATTTGAAATAAAGTGCACACGATATAATCCCACTTATTTCTCGTTCTTTTTGTCTTATGCAGGTACTATAAAAATGCTTGCCAGGATAAATTATAATAAACGTAGAAACTATAGAATTTACAGCATTTCAGGATATCAACTTTGACAATCTTAAACACCATTAGATTTTCTATTGCTGTTGTTTTTTCTATCTTGCCATATAGATAAGACGTCTTTAAGATTATAAATTAGAGCTGGCTTTGTTGTGTATCATTAATACAAAAAATACACGGTATTTTCCATCTATATATTTTGGTGAATTTAAAAAGATAGTACCGGTAATCTAACCGCCATTTTTGTGCGAACCTGCTCTGACTATTTACCTCAACCAATTACTGTGAAATTAGAACAATTATGAACTACGCTATCTCGAAATTCACAGTTGGATATCGAGTACACTGCTCCTTAGGCAAACTTACGTGAACTTTTCTATTTTTACATCCTACAAAGCGAAATGCTCTAAGGTGGTCGTTTTCTTTCAGTTATTTTTCAGACAACAAAGCATTGATTATCGTTTTGATTTGCATATAATGTCACGACGGATTATATTGCAACCGTTTGATTTCTCATCACACTGGAGTTTTAAATAAATGAACATTGTCCAGCAGAAATACCATAGATCGGTGTGGTTGATAACGCCGTCAGCGTAACCGCAGTTGATATCTGCAGAAAAAAGATGAATCGGGAAACAGAGTATGTACACATAGAGCCTTGTCTTATAGAATAGTTGTGAACAACCCACAGAATCCACCGAATGCATATGTTTAACATATGCATATGCAGAGAAGAGCCTCTTATACATGTTAACTGACTCGGATTTCAGAGAGTGAAAGAAATATGTAAATATATATACAAGCATACAAATAATCTAAAATGTTGATCGCTACTTAATACTTAGATTGATAACTGATTTATAAATGCCCAACGGTTTGCAGTCTTGCATGCAGCGCTGGAAATGTTATCACCGATTTAAAAACGTTTACGATTTGAGCTTCACACAAAACAAAGATGTGACGAAACGGTATGATGGTTATGGTTATTATCATCATTATGGCTACGCATTACGCTAGACTAATTCGCATTTTCAGAGAGAATACAAAGTAATCGCAATGTAACGAAATTTTTTTACCATAGTACTTAACCTGGTTTTAATTGTAAGGTAAGCAAATATTTCGATCTGTGTCAATCAATGATTAACCACTGTTCTACCAGATGTAGTAGCACTTTATCCAGTTATCTTTCTTTTGTGATTACGGCGATTCATTGACTTAGTTGTGTATGACCATTATATAGCAATTACACGCTGTAAACATGCGGGTTAATTGTCCTATTGTATTTCATTATCGTACCGAACTGTGATTGCGAGGCCATGATAAGCAGGTCAATAGCTTGCGTCGTGATAATTGACAAAGCCAAGGGGCTAAAATATAACAAACGAGATAAATACATACGTATTAATAGCTTTTATTACTTCAAGGGGCGTTTCAAAAAAAAAAAACGATTCATCTTGATTTGACCTGTTCTAAATAAATTGTTTGAAAACAACTTCGGCCAAAGTCTCTCTTATTATTCTGGCGAATCAGCCCCAATTATGACCGAGATCGGTGTTACGCTGACATAGTCAAAGCGCTCTTGAGCCTGTGCATATCTGTGTAGAAGGTTCCAGCAGATTTAGGTCTGAGCTGTTAAGAGGACAACAATGGCAAAAGCGTATGAGTTTAAAAAATCAAATAAATTTTAAAAATTAATGACAGTGTCGATGCCTATAAATGATTCAATAATTTATTGAAATCGCAAGACCATCAACTTACGCTTTTTTTTTTTTTATTTCTATCTTTTCCCTAAAATAACCTTTTCTCGACTCCTAAGCACAAGCATAATTCGAACCTCGTAAAAGTCATAAAACGTCGGACAAGAAAGTAAAGCATAAACTTGAAGTAACAAGTTTATTATTTAGGTGAAGGTGCGCTGAGCGTGAAGGATCTCATCTTCAAAAATGCAAACTCTTCACTTTTAGTCCAAACTGGATTTTCTCAGCTTAACCATTATGAGTTTTAGTCGTGGAGTCAAGGGAACATATTTTTTTAGCATGACAATATTGCCAGCTTAAAACTATTTATTCAAGTACAAATTACAGAGCTCAAAGGTATACTGCGTATGTTTGCACGTTCGACGTGTACAAAAGTGGACAAATTTATTCGCGTACAATGTCTTTTCATCTTGAAATGATCATATATATGTATCTGAGCTGCAACTGCGAGAAAAGGTCACTCGTATCTTCAGACTGGATACCGGGTTTCATATGAACAATACCGCTAAACCCATGCTGATTTTAGTAGACCCGCCATTTTGCATAATAGTAAGAGGTCCTAAATCGCCTTACATATGTTCGACTAATACTTCATGTAAACTGCTTTGGCTCGGAATCAAATGATAAATAAAACTAAATATATGGCACAATGAATGGACGCCGCATGCAGCAGCCCCAGGTGTATTTGAATGCAGCCACTACGAACGTCTTTGTAATTAGTTTAACCGAGATACAACCGGCGTAGAAAGCAATGCACGAGATACGCGAGTGGCCCAAAACAGGAATTTCTATAAACGTAAGAAGTGTTTCCAAATAAGCATCCGTAATTTATGTAGCTGAAGAAATATAAAATTGACAATATCGTATTATTAGTCGTTCGTACCATATTTGACATAGAACTTATTATCAAAGTACTTTTATTATGCATGGCACCTCACAATGTTAGTAATAACGTTTTAATTGGTTTCCAGTCTATGGCATGGTAAAGACGGACTTGAGTTACCTTAGGTAGGCATAGAGGATAATGATGTTCACTATGATAAAAGGTAAACTAAAAATAACGTAACTATTCAAATCTAGATGAAAAATAAGAAGTCACGTAACCTTGGTGGGAAATCGAACTCGCCACGAAAGGTATTGGGTAGTGCATTAGTATGAATACAGTACACAGGTCCTAACTAAAAAATTGGTAATGATAGTTGGCTCAAACGGATCGACTGGGATTTCCAGTTTTTTAGCGTCGCGTAGCCTGAATGCTCAATAAACATTTATTTGCAACGATTACCTTGCGATTTTTTATGGGAAAAGAAACCACTGTAGATCATTAAGTTTTCAAACTCCGTCATGACGAATAACCTCCCTGAGGTAAATACATTTATCCCGTTTTATAATACAGTTTAAAATAACTGCGCCGCAGACCAATTTATTTGAAGACATACGGTCAAGTCTAGATACATGCAGTTTTTAAAAGAACTCATATTTAAACGTTATGCACGTTTCCATCGAACAAGAGCATTGCGAACTTGCGTCATGTGAAACTTTCAAAAGCGCATTAGGTCAATTTTTTAAGCCTATATTAGCCCGAATATGACACGAGCACGACGTCAAAATAAATCAGATTGCCTGATTTTTTTCATTATCAAATAAGCTGACACTACCTACCTGTATTATAACCTATACAGTGTTACAGGTTGTCAAATTCTGCCAGCGATGTAATACAAATTATCATGGTTACAAGTCTACAAACATATAAATGTTTTTTACTCAACGCATTTTCTCCATTATTGCCTTATTTAAGATTTCTAAGTCAACATTGATAAAATTTTGAAGAATAATTAGTAGTTATTGGTATCAAAACCAGAATTAACCGCACGATGTAAATGTTCAACGATATCGAATACTTTGAACATATGCCAGTTCAATCTAAACAGGTAAAAATGCACAAGTCATTATTGGTGGTGGCAGAATAAATAACTTCGTTTGTTTTTTATTATTAACACTGTAGTAGCAGTAGTAGTAGTTGTTCTTATATTGCCGATTTAAGACAACTCTGTCGGACAATATTTTTCTCCTTTATATCATCACTCTCGTTCTTCATAGGTTCTCGCTCATTTATTTTCTTATTTATCTTACTTGTGTATCTTATGCTTATAATAGTTATAATTAATATCAACTTTCTTTCATTTTTACATGCACATACTTAGCTTGCCCCTACGGACGTTGGCGTATTAGACTGACTGCATGACGATGCACCATCCTGTTGTATGACTAACAGCAGAAGAAGAGTTCCATGAAGATATGGTTACAGCAATTATTATTTTTCTTAATTCTAATCAGCGAACAATCAGTGAGTTCCTGTATTCTTCTGTTTTTGGCTTTCGTCGTTTCTCATCATACATATTCAGCTTTTTGTTAACGTAGTTTCCTCTGCCAATGTGTAAACATGGTTTTGTTGAATGCTTATCTTGTTTTTAATTATATCTGTGTTTGTACAATGCTAATTTGCTCTGCAATACGAATCTATGTTTTCAAATCTTCATATTTTATAGTATTCACATTCTCATGTTAGCTTTTTGCAAATAGAAGAAAACTACTATCAATTAATAGAATATTATCTTATGTCATATTATCAATTATAATTGCCTCTCAATTTATTTCGTAATCATTTCTGCCTTGAGTGTGCTTGTCCATAGTTACTTTTATAAACTCTTCGATAATTCACGCTGTGCAGTCAACCATTAAAGTCGCACTGATCAAAAATAAATAGAGTTCATATCGTACATCTTCTCGTCTATTACTTCTGTGTGTGTCTCACCGTATCTGTATAATTCGACCGCTGCGTCTAAATATACAATTTCATGAGCATTGTTAGTTAGTACATTGGTCGCAATCACTTAAATATTAGACAGTTTCACTACTTCCCGACAGTCAGTCAATACTTCTCCATCATCAATCTTTTTTACACGTCCATTGTTGTTTTGTGGTTTACATTCAGTGCGAGCTACATACATCAAGCATTTTTCCATGCTTCTATATCCCCTCTTCCAACATTCGCTTCATTAAAACTGTTCGCCAATGGGTTCAAGCACAGCCTCTTCGGAGAGCAAACACTTCGTTATCATTCTTTTGTCCTTCTTACCTGCTCTACCCTTTTTGCCCCGTTTTCTATCCCTCCCTCAATCAAGTCTGCTATATAAAGAATGACCTCTTTCTATAATACAAATGACGTTCGTTTTCAACGTCATCCTTTATGTCGAACATATATCTGTATAGATATACTTTATATATACACAGAACCGAATCCATGCGCAGCTTAACGCTCTCGCACTTTCTTGCCGCTAGTAACGTTTTGTGCAACAGAGGCATTACGGACTTTATAAATGTGTCCTTATGGTCTTTCTATTATTATTATTATTGTTTTTTTCGTCGTCGTCATCTTCGTCGACTGCTAACACTTGCTCTGGATACTTGTTATTTACTGTAGTAATGGGTGTTGAAATGTGTGCGAATGTCTATAACTGGTTAGTATAATCATTATTACCATCTTAATTATTGAGGGCACAATTCAGCGAGTCTCTTCAAGTAGAGGCCAAAATAGGCCTTCGATGACGCTTTTGAAATGTTGTGTTCGACGCCCTTGACGTATGCGATATTAAATATGTTGAGGCGGTTCGATGCTGACGGTGTGTACAAGTTCTTCTATATACAGGCTCTAGTTGGCGAAACCGAAGAAGGTACAAGGAATGGATATTTTGGGCGGGCACTGGTTGTGAACGATGCAAATCAATTAATGATTGGAGAAAACAAAATTTATTGTAACTTTGGCCAGAACTCATTAGATTTCTGTCAAGTCGTTGGTTGTTTTCGTTCGTTGGCCACCGAGATGAAGTCATCATTTAGGACAAAAGTTAGGCAACAAGCTAATCTCCTTGATTAATTGAACTTAGATCCTCCTTTAGGACAATCTTCCGTTCACTAAAGGATAAGGTGAAAACGTTCATATTCGGACCAAAGCTGAAGAAGTAGGACACCAATTTGCAAGCACGTCAAACGTATCATTACATTCAATCACTAACGTGTATCGATTCCGTTTTAATATAAGCGGTATCGCATATCGTACATGCTTTATAATGCGCTCGTAATAACACGCGCTTGCACATTGTCTTACACATGCGCGAAGATGCACATACATACAACACACACAGTCAGTCAGAGATGCATACAAAATCACAAAATATGCCCATCAGACACTGTGCATATGAAGAAGATCACGTGTTTACGTGACAAAATGTTCATTATAAGCCCTACTATATATATATATATATATATAATAGAACTCAATGCAACGTGTGTACTTACATATATACAACGAATAACCGCCATCGCCGTATAAACATGATTGGAGATGCTCGGCATAAGACATGTTTTCAACGGACACTTGCTTTTATTCTCTGCCGGTTCATTTTCACATCTATATGCTGATTTATATTTATAAGGTATATCTACGTGAACATGTGTGCGTGCTTGTACATAAATTCGGGCGCCAGTAATCCGTACCTCTAGTTTCTCTCACTTACTGTATCGCTTATTTTCTGTCGTCCCGTTTTATTATTTTTAAATTTCCCCCTGGGTCTAGTTTACGAGCCCGGAACAGACCGATAGTCGCCTTGCTGCTCATATATTGATTGTTTTTGTTATTTTTGTGGCCTATAAAGCTCATTATAAAGATGCTGTTTTCGTCCAGTAGGCGCTTGTGTTACTTGAGATTAATGACCATGCCAGACTAAATTTTCGATTGTGTTCGTTCGCATGCATATTGAACAATAAAGGCATTTCAAACGAAGCAGAAAAACATCGTGAGGCCTACCACTACTTTCAACGTGGCCCTTCAGTATTGTAGCTGTCACTAGTTCTGTCCCTCTCTGATCTTCTTCTAGGCTATTGTTTTTATTATCATAATCATTAATATTATGGAAATTTTGTTCTGCGCTATGTTCTTATTCATTACATCATTTATTATTTTTCAGTTAATTATTATTAAATTATCCATCCATCTCTTCGTTGGCGGTGAATTCAAGGCACCGTGTGGCCATTTCGAATGTTATAAGTAATAAATTGTAATAACGTTTCTAACCTATTATTAACAATGAATCGTTTCCAATATCGCATGCAACATCTGATTTCTCCCGATTTCAGCGTTTCTCAGATATTAGGTGTTCCATGATGATATGACGCTCTTTTTACCTTTGCAAATCGTTATCTGGTCCCTTGTGAACTGCCTTCATAGACAAATCAAAGTTACAGGGCACCATTAAACACTCACCCCCACCCTAGAGCACAATAGTTGAACCAGACACATCAGACAGCTCAGGCGACTGGCGGCAACATTACCCAGGCAATCCCTTAGAGCGCTCCTAGGCCTCTTCAGGTTCCCTAGAAGTTTTCCACCAGTGCTCCATTGATAACTGTCTACCAGCTGACGCACATACGTATTTGGAGTGGAAGAGCAAATTTACACTGCACATTCAGATAATTTACTTATCAATAAGAAGACGTGTCCAACAATAATAATCGCAAAGCACTAGCAGCAGGCTCAGCTCATAGTGTCAACAAATATGAATAACAAAAAAAAACGAAACATACAGCAACAAAGCTATCATAATCTCCTTTTCTCCCGACTTTGCTCACTGGGGGATCACAAACGACACAGTACGTCCTCTTTCATGATTTTTCGTTTGATCCTTTTACTTTCAGGTATTAAGATATCTTGTCCTCTTCGCAGTATCGCGTGTACAATTGCGTGGCATGGGTGAACAGGAGCACGGATGAGAAATAGCGTAATGGCCAAGTAGCAAAATAATATATGGGGATGATAAAGATCTTCACTCACAAAATATATGTATATATATAAATATATACAAAATCCGAAAAGACAAAGCATAATGTCATGTCCGCCTGTGCACAGTCCAACAAACCGTTCTCGAGCGTGCGTGCGTGCCTAGGCTGAAATAGGTTCATAGAGTTGTGCCTAGCAAAGGATTAGCTCGGGACAGAGGAAAAAGTCAACGCCACAGTAATTAGATTGGCATGCTCATAACAAAGGGTTGGTTTGGATATAGCGTAGGCCTGCAGAACCTTTGTGAAAGCAACGTCCAGTACTTGTTAGAGATGCGTGACCTGTTGACGCTAAGGTAATAATTAGTAGTTGTAATAAACAAACGATAACTTTTTAGAAGCGCTCCCCATCCCTACACCGCCACTCTTTGTCCACTCCTCCGGTTTCGTCGGAGCCTGTAGATGCGACATGGTGACCTCGATTTGACCTTCGAGTCGGTTGGGGTCTCTTGGACTTTCCGTCATCGTCGTCTGAATCAGAGATACCATCGAATGCCGCATCGCCATACAGGATCTCATTGTCCATGTACTGTGACGAGGTTGACCACGGGTCTTTGATACGCTTGGACCTACAAATCAGCAGGCAACGAAAAACATGAGCGAACAAGATAAAAACATATATGACAGCAATTACATTTCTATATAGCTTGTTATTGCTACTTGTATAAGCAAAGCAGCGTAAACTATTTTCCCGATAAACAAGCTACCTTCATCTTGGTATCGCTGAGAGATCAATGGGTGGAAATATCAATGTTCGCAAAACTTATTTTCAAGACACTGAACGCTGGTAGAATCGTAAAAACTACAACACCTCGTTTCATATTGTATTATAAAAATAGTCATATACACAGTATTAGTTAAATTTAAAAAACTGCAGGCAATTACCTGCTACGCATGGCGTGGGAAATATGCAAGAAGTAGTGGTAGACATACCTGCGTGTTTTATCCTCTTCGGCTTTCCGTTTCTGCTCCTCTACGAGCATCTGCGGATGGTGAACCTCAGTATAGAGCTTCAACCGCGTCCGGGCCTCGTTTTGAGCAAAACCTGCTTCGAACGGCAAAAACTGCTCAAGAATTGACTCCAGCTGAGCGATGAGACGCTTGTTCGAGGGTTGCTTCTTGCTGGCCTTCTTGTCCTTAGGTATCATTATCTAAAAAAAGTTGAGGGTCAGAGAAAATTGAACTTGGTCTCTACGACAATTTGGATTACAAATGGAAATTACATGTGTACATGCAAGTGAAACATGCATTCTCCAATTCACCTTCATTGTGATCCTTTCCCTTGGGACGGAGTCTGCCTTTCGTTTTAACGAAAGTGAGTCAACCTTGGAAAAGTCCTTATCCGTTGTACCATTTTCTATTCTACGTGACGATCGTCTGGTGCTGATCTGTACCATCGCATGATTTTGGTGTGCGGTCGCCCTTTCGTAAGCGGCTGGTGCTGCCATTGTTTCGTCGTCATGATCGTCCATTTCAGCGAAGCGCTGAGTTTGCTTATGTGCCCGGGAAGACCGGCGAGGCTGCGTGTGGTTTGTGTCCTGCGACGATTCCTCTTCTTGAACCGACAAAGCAGATCGTGAGTCGCTTTCCTGACCGTGACCGCTTCGTTCAAGTTTCTGTGTCTGTGATAGATCCTCCTCTTCCACTTCGTCTTCCTCTTCGAGTATAGAGTCCACTTTGTCGATATCTGAAACGGCCAAGTATGGAAAAAAGCAAGTAGAAACAGACAAACCATGTTAAAAGACGCACGTTTTTCTGTCAAAATAAGGCTCCAACGAGCAGGCTAAATTTCTCACTCTGTAGCTCTCGAAGACGTTAACTGTAACGTATAACTAAATAAATCATAGGATGGGCAGTGCTATGTACTCCTCTTCATGCAAATATGTAACCTTGTCTCAAGAGACCATTACCATACCTGCCATGATAAAAACGTATACGATACCGTATCTATTATCAACACCGGTGAAAAAAGCCTTGATAACTGTTCATAAGATTTTGAGAGATCATAAGGAAATTATGCCTCAATTCCTGTCTAAGATGGAAAGAACAACCCATCTCGCTTTATAATCACTACGTACTGTTCTTAGTCGTCACGGACAAGGCGGTTGGTACGCAAACAGTGTCAACAGTACCGAACTTGTACGCACTCTGCATAGATATGTTGCATATGTTTAAGGTTATGCCTGTGTTGTGCCACTCACATCCATTACTGGACTCGTCGTTGGGCAATTGTGTATCGTTTGAAGTCTCGTCATATTCATGATTGGCTTCTCTTGAATGTTCATCGTTAATCTCATGAGCTCCTTCTCCATTGTTCTCTTTGTCCTTAGTTTCGGCTTCTCCCTTCAATCGTTCAATGAGGGCACGAAGTTGATTCAAATTTTCCGCGACGATCTTGAACTCTAGTTGATGCTGCTGCTCTCCCGCGGACATGAGCATACATCCGTCAGAGTTGTACACTACAACCTGTAAGAAAATCGATCAAAGAAAATAAATTTATATACATGGCTGTTACAAGCGAATAGGAGGACCTTGAAATTGTATAGTTTTGAATTTTTTTTTAACGTTCCTTCAGCTGTTCCAAGGCCTTAGGACGTTTTCCAATGTATTTGTGGATGTTTGAGAGCACCCGATGGTACGCTGTTGTATTGCAGATCTATCCGTCCTAGTAGTTTCTCGGGTAACTTCTTGACGCGACTTAGCGGTTCCGGAGTGGGCTCCGTTGGCAAGAAGTAGACAATCAATAACAATTAAATCGTTTTAACGCAGGTGTCCTGCGAGAAGGTAAAATAGCTGATTTCGTGCCGCAGGATGGAGTTCAAAAACATGCTTCTAGACAGCTTTAAAGCAATTTAATTGATCCCAGTTAGCAGAATGAGGTTTTTCATATGACCTCGTGCCGCATACAGGCACTGGGTCTATTTTAAAATGGAATAGCCGATGGGCAGTAGCAGTTGAAAGAAAATAGGGATCCCCAGTAGTAGATATCGCTACGATAACCATTGTGCATTTCTCCGTGTTGTGCGACAAAAAGTTTTTACTGCTGAACGAAAAAAGTAGTCCAACGTAGCGGAAATTGTTTACGTAGTCGAAAGTCGACGCCGCGATCGAGCGCGCGTTTTAAGAATGAATTGAGTCTCTTCTCCTAAACTTGTCGCCACCGTTTCTGTCGAATTCACAGTTCAGCCGAATTTTACTAGGATCACATGCAATCTAACTAACGCAAGCTGAACTTGAAAACGGCTACTCCCATACATAAGCAGGGGTTAGCATATAGAATTATTTTCATAAGGTTCCTGGGGCTTAGAATTTTTGATCGTAGGGTTTTTAAGAAGCCTTGCGAACAACATGGAGTTGAAGTTAGTTAGTTGTGGTTAGTTAGTGGTTTGGAAGAAAAGTAAAAGTTCTGCTGTGTCCTCGTCAATTTTTACCTGGTTTTCCTCGATAAATAGCGATTATAGAGTTCAAAGATTCATAACATTTTGATATATGCTGTGTTCATATTTTATTCCTTTAAATATAGGTGAAGGTATCGATCGCTCTGTTTTTCTTTACAATAGAAGCATTCCAACATGCACAACGGCGGGTTTGGGTGGTGTTAGTGTTCGTTGTCCAAGCAGAATCAGGTAGATGGTCGTTATGTAGATTTAGCTGAATGCGCTCACGAAGTCATTCTTTGAAAAGAATTCTGTCGTCTGAATGTCACGAGATAGGCCGCGGTAGAGAGATATCTTAGGATCTTCTCTATACAGATAATAACGTACTACGATGTCGTTACGTTTAAAACTTCGACATAGAACCTGTTTCCCATCAGTTTTTAATTTCTTCTATAATATCAAATATATTTTTTCGCTGTTTTTTAGATTGTATTTGGCAATTACACATCCGTATATTCTCATTACCTTCTTGTGTTAATTTGAGTTGTGATAATGCGCAGTTTCATTGGCGGCATTCAGTTTAAACTACTAACACTAAATCTTTGTGCTTTCCTTTTCATCGGGCTTGTTCTTTTGTTTCATATATTTTTGATCTGATATTAAGTAATTCAGTTAATGCTTAGATTCTGTTTACTTTGTCGCTGACAGCCAATCGTTAGCAGTCTTCTGAGCGAGTTCCGTTGATCTTTCTTAGGGCTTTTACCTGTTTTAATAACCTATCATTAGTGAGCCATTCCCCTGACATATTTACCTCATGGTCTTCCTGCTGAAAATTTTTCATTGATTTTCTGAACTGCACTACTCCAGGCAAAATTGTCTGTAGTAGACGATTACCATTAGTTTTTGCGATCAGCTGTTTCTTCGATTATCTTCGCATCTTCTTCACTATTTGGATGGATCACATCATAGCCATTTCACAAAATTAACTTTTGAATGGTCACTTATATTCGCAAACATAAATGAGCTGCCGTACCAATTGGTACCCAATTGGTACCATGAATTGGCATTTTGTAGTTTAAACAAGTAAATTTCAACTGTTTGTTCGTCACGCAACGTACTCATTCTTTCGTGTTCAGGTTACCTTCTGACTGAATGATACCATCATTCTTGATCCTATCTTTGCGGAAGCACTCTCCGCAGTGTTTATTGTTGCAACTTTACTAACTTCTAAGTCAAATTGTCAAATTTTTCAAAGTACTGGAGTTTTTTTTGTTTGACTACACGGATATATATATATATATATATATATATATATATATATATATATATATATATATCTGAACTAAATATACATAAGTAGCAGGTATAAATACCTCCCCTACCTCTTCATCGAATTCTTCTTCGCAACTTTCGTCGCTACTTTCCATCTCCTGTACAATGGCTTTAGCCGCCTGCTTCGCGCTTCGTCGCCGACTCTTCGTTTCGATATGTTCCTCACGGATCAAGGTCTTTTTCTTACGTTTTTTTGCTGTCGGGGGTTTAGGACTTCGCGGTACACGTTTAATCGCCACCTAGAAAGCATGAAAGATATGCATATTTAAAGAAAAGGAAGCTATCGTGTAACATGACGATAACACGAAGGATAAACGTTAATGTATTCAAATTGACTAAACAAGTACTACAATTTTACATGTAATAATAACACAATTACCAACATTTATTGTAAGTGAAAGAGGACTACTCTTCCACGGTCTGCACCTACCAAACGCAATGAATTGCAAATTAATATAATGCATTTAATAGAACGCACCTGATAGCAATCGTCGTGAGACGCCTTACGGGGAAACTGCTGTACAGAATAAACCCGTACGTCGTGGTTAGATAGACAAGGAAAATAAAAATATTCCCGTCCCGATAAATCAGTTCCCAACACGAGCTGTCGCATATCTTCTCCTAAATACGTTCCTTCTACGAAGTAGTCCGCCACGCTCTTGTGCTTTGCCTAAAAGAACAAGAATGGCAATTATCACCAATATAAAAACATACGCAAGGTATATACCAGTTCTCAAAGATTCATTTTAGTTAAAACTCACTGCAGGCTTAGCTAGTACAGTAAAACTACTGGTACACCAACGTCATGATTACTAGTCGACAGAAAAAACAAGAAAAAATTACATCAGTATTTTTCCTATCGACAGAAACAAAAAACTGTTTTAGCAGTTTGTTAAAACGGTTTGTACACATTGCAATGCGCACTCACCAATCTTTGGTCACATAACGCTTTGATAATAGCCACGCGTTCACGCAGCGTGAAATCTTCAAAGGTGCACCACTCCTCTTTATCGTTGAGTTTGTCAAATGGATTTGCCTCACCAACAATTTGGAAAAACTCCTCTTCGACACCAGTATCTTCAAACACCTTAAGGATACCGTGGTTGTTTAACGTTTTGTAGAACGTTACCAACTTGTTGCGTAGTTTCTCATTCCATTCGCGATAGCCCATTGGCGGTTTGCTAGCCGTCGAGCTAACACTCTTAAATCCTGTTGTTAGCAAGCACGTCATGAGCGAATGCAATAACTGACTCGACTGAGGGTAAAGAAGAGATCGTTCGAGTTCAAACATCGTGAACTCCGGAAAGCCGAGTGCGTGTTGCGCAAGAAACAGAAAATGCGCTATATGAGGAACTTCCCACATGGCTTGCACTTCGTCTAGGCCAGGACGAACGTCCTTTGCATCCCACATATCGGCCGCTGCGGCCAGGGCCTCCTTCTCGAATTTTTTACCTTCACGGGCGCGAAATCGTTGTTCCCGCCCACGAACAGCTCGTTCATGGCGTATAATCGCAATTAGCATCGATTCGCCATCCTCAACTTTAAGCCGCCCACGCGGTATGTCACTTGGTCTCGTTGCATCAATTGAACTCCTTTCCCTGAGGTCACGCGGTAGCATCTGCACTTTGGTCTCAAGTACATGTTCAAGTTTTATGCCTTTCTTCGATATCGGATGATGAGGTCCGAATGCATGATAACAGCACTCCAGCATGCGGCGCACATCGCCAACGATGTCGCCGATCGTCTCGTATGTCTTTTTATCCACGATTTCCTGTTTGATCTGTGAAATGACATAAAATAATAATCAATATAATTATAAATTATTTAGCAGTATCTGTCACGATTTATCGTTATGATAAACGGCAAGAAAACATGAAATCAAGTAATCTGTATGTTTCAATCTTCACGTTTTAATCCTCAGCATATTCTGCCAAATAATTCCGTTTGCGTTTTTTTAAAAGACACTTGAGTCAAAGTACACTAACTTGTTTGACAACAAATCAGCTTTTTTTTTACTTTGATAAGCTCAAAAGATGTCGTTCACAATTTGATCGCCTACTGTTCACTAACGGAGGAATTGTGTGATATTCACTTGCCTTTCCCAGCCAAGTCGTGTTCTTGAGCGCATCCGCATAATTCCTCCAATACTCTCGCATTGACGTTTCAGGCTTGTCGAGAAAGGGCCCACAGAAGCTTCTGCAATTGGTTGACATGAGAAAGCTTACAATTCGCCAGCCATGAAGAAGTTCGATTGGAACGTCCGGTTCGGGGTCTTGTGCGTGTCGGGTTCGCCTGAAACAAGAAAGAAACTCCAAAATTGGTTTTCACTTTTCACTCCTTCAAGTGTCCCCGACTTTGACGCACTCACCGAGACACCAAACTCCGTAACTATCATAGAAGTAATTGTTTTCCAAATCCCTAATCCCACTCCTAAGTTTGTTTAGAAAAATGACTACGCGATTTGCTGATGGAGAAACACTTTCTTAGTAGCTGAATACGTATAATGAGCCTATACAAAAAAAAAACGCCAAAAATAAGGTGATTTCCGTGAACCTTTTCATTAATTTACTTAAGTTAATTTAAATGGCTTTTGAATATAGAATCGTAAAAGAAAATACGACCTTCTATGGCCTTATACCTGAACTGCGTCCTATATAATCTGCAGGAGACATCTTGAAAATAGCTCTCGTCCTAATAGCCGTGGTAACATGCGTCTCTACACACGCCAGAAATATTTATTAACAATTTGTTATTAATGACAAAGCTGAGCTTTTTTACAAATTGTTTATTGACGTTTGGTACATTTTAATTACCCCAGAAATAAGAGGAGAAAGAAGAGCTGACTTACGGTCTGTCGTTGAAACAATTTTATCTAGATGCTTCAATACATAGAATTTGGCGAACTGACTGTTTTTTTAGCGCCTTTATTGCTGACAAAGAACTGGGAATCAACTCGCGGCGAAGGGCTCATTTTTATATCAGCTTACCTCACCGCGGTCAACGACACAAAATCGAATATTTTGCATAATCTTTTACGTATAGATATTACATGTATCTAGAAAAAAGCTTGCGACATGCAATCCAATTTGAGTTTATTATAAAATTCTTGATTTGATACATTATCTCTGTACTTAGTTCATTTGATAACCTTAGAAAGCCTCGATGCACGGCAGCGATCTAAAAAACAGTTTTCTAAACATTATCACTCCTAGTAGTAGTTAACTGCTCATACCGTTGTGGGCATCGACGCCATGCAACACGGTTAGGTCATAGCCACTATTATACCTGACAGGTCTATTTCACACTAATCACATGGCAATGGGGACCTCAGTCCTATTTACCCAGGTCACGCGTTCACGGTAACTCATACGTACTATATGGTGCGAACAGCTCTCTCCGCAGGACTTTTGCCTGAATGGCTGGTTATGCATTCAGAACGCCGTGATTAGGCAATATGTCTAATGTCAAAATTTCTACAGCGTTCAATAGACGAACAGTGAGCAAGACTGCACTTTCCCACCATGTCAAATTTGCATTTCAAAACCTCTTCTAATCTTTCAGGTATGTTGTAGCACTGAATAAAAATTTTCAGTGTTTAATTCAGTGTTTAAGAAACAGTGTTTAATTGCAATTGTGTCTTGCTTCGTGCATATAAGTCATTACTTTTTGTGAGTAACCAAAGAAAAATAGATTCTATATTTTGTTCAAGGAACCATGGCAGGTATTCACAATGGAATACCTAATAATATTATAATGAATAAGAGCGATCAGTCCGAAAAACTAGAATAGCTTTACCTCCAGTGTTATCATCTGTAGCGTTCTGTTCTTGTTATAATGGAAGAACTTAGTTCAATTGTGACGGAGCCGCTTTTCAATCAAAGTCAATTGCAATATTGACGTCAAAAACGGGCCATTTCCGGTAACTAGCAAAGGTTATGGCTCATCGTCTTGCCGGTTCTTCAACAAGCTGACTGGTAATTAGCGGTTACGAATTACTTCAATCGATTTAATAACCTTACGTTAATATCTATCCAGTATTAACAGGAATCATATAATGTTGAGCACGCGAGCCCAGGATATGCAACTCCGCAAATTGGATTCTGGGAACGCATACGCTATCAACTTTCTTTTAAATGGCTTTCTCCTTATCTGGCGAATTAGAAAAATGAAATTTGAGGGAGCATATTTTATTACAAAGTTGTTCATTCTGCACAACGCCACAGTACTGATGTCGTTATAAGATACTTCGTAAGCAGACTCCAGTATCATTGTCTTTTGCAAAAATTACGTAAGCATACAATTATCTTAACAATATCTAGTTAGACGTGTGCTTTATTTAGAATAGCGGTTTATGGTTACATGGTACCTTTGTGCCAGATATCCCTAAATAAGTTAGTGCCGATATCTGTAAGAAAATTTAATACCAATATTCACAAAAAAAGCTGCACTTTGATCATGCGCATTCAAACCATGTGATGACGTTTTATTAAATCCAAATTTTGCCAAATTCGTTATTTAGCGCGCGCTGTGATGCTACCAACAAGCGAATCCAAGCAGTATTCGACGTACTAAGAAGTTTCAAATTGAAATCTCGCATAACAGTCGAAAACAAGCAGTCTTTAGCGATTATTAATATGCTCATTCTTAGTGAAGACTGAAAACGATAGATCTATGACCAATAGCTAAGTTGACAGATGCTTTTAAACAAAAGCTGCTTCAGTCTGTGTATTTCGTTTACGGGATTTGAATTTCACAATAAAGGCAGAAAAACGTATAACTCCAATTGCTCCGCCATGCAAGCGTTCGTTGGCTGATACAGCTTTATGGATACAGCTATAAGCCGCATATATGTGAAGACGTGAAAGGCGCGTATGTGCGAAGTTAAGAGAGCGGTCTCCCAACGGCAGCTTGCGAAGCCATCAAAAACCCGTAATCACTTTTTAAAAAGATTGCACCGGCATCTTTGGCCGCTCGACTGAGATATTAGGTTACGAAACCGGCGTATGTCGGTAATTAGACGACGGTTATGAGCACTAGGCAACGTAATTCAAATAACAGCACACTATGCAGTTACTGTATGCCCTTTCTTGTTTATGCGGGATTTTAGTGTTTATGCTAACGGGATTAAGCGACTCACCAGCAACAGATAATAAAGAGAATCGAAAATTTTTTAGTGAAATATTTTGAGTAACGACAAGCATATGAGGCCGCAGTGAAATCGTTGAAAGGAGGTGAAACCCGGAAGTTCTGGCGTCTATTAGGCAAAAGTTATCTGATTCAATCTTATTACGGAGTTATTTCATATAAGTGTATTATTATTATTTTGAACGCCTGTACTTGGAACTTCCCAGAAAGGTTATCGTGAGGATGCCGCATTACAATGTCAGTGATTAATGATGAGCTAGAAGAAAGGTAGCGCTTTCAGATATGCTATCATAGGAACCTGAGAAGTTAGGTCCACATTAAATTTGTTGTTGGAAAAATTCGATAATCATAGGACCAGAATATCTCAATATATATAACGGAAGTATGATGAAAGATCTCATTCACTCGGAGACGAAATTCTTGTTTTAAGCATAAACTACAAATCAAATGAAATAGATGAAATGTACAGTATAGGGTCAGCATTTGTATTCCAGCTCATCACAGCGTAGGCTAATGACAACGAAAACGGTATCTACATATAGATAATAAAATAGTAGTTAATGCTTTGTTATAAAAGTCGCGTTTCAGAATTTTCCTTACCATGGTAAATAATAAAAAAAGAAATGAGCCCTTTCACATCGTAGGGTTTATGAGTGCAATTTTTCTTGAAATTACAAACAAAGATACAGCTTAACCTCCCGGTGAAGAGACTTTCAAAATAGGATCCGCATAAAGTGATTATATTTCACTTGAAAATCTTTCGATTCTCAATTTTTTCTAAGGTGACGCAGTTTGCTCAACACTTCAAATAAGGTTCGACATAGGTTCTTTTCATAAAGGGAATCATTTTCAATGTAAGGTTGCTTGTCTCTTCTTAATTTACTAGCACGCAGATGACTAATATTAACGGGTGTTGTAGAAACTTTCGTCAGCAAAAGTTGTGTATTTTATCTCTCACCAATTTCAGACACTCCTGGTATACATAAATGCCCAAAGAGCTCATATGTCCTATGAAAACATTCCTTGAGATTTACATATGTGGAAACAATCATTCTAACTATAATTCACAGAACACCAGTAATACGACTGTTCCTTGGACTAAAAAAATTTACATTTCAAGGTCCATACAAACTCGGACTTCTGTACCTCGATCACCATGAAGGTGGATACCGGCAGGAGAGATTTTCGACAAGTTCTGGCATTTCTGCACGTAGCCTGAAATATCTGGAGGATTTTCGCAGGACCAACTTAAAACCGATTCACTGTGATCACACAACCGCATAACGATCCACTATTCGTAGATTACTGATCCTTTTGAGGGTTTTCGACATCGGCACGTCACCCAGCTGACCGAAAGTAAGCTCATATGACAGATCACTCATCGAATCCCGCCAAAAGTGACAGTTCCACGACTTTGCCACCCATTAGACCACTTGAACAGAAGTTGAACCGGATCGCCGGCCCGAAGAACAGAGTACGGCTAGCTCCGGTGTCCGCCAAAGCTTGCCCAGTCATACTGGGCAGTTTTAGTTAGAGCAACAGACCAGTACGGGGGATGAACACTAAGTGGGAATTAACTACATACCTTTGCTCAAACAGTTTGAGTTTGACTTTCGAGTAGCAGTGCTCCTCAAGCTCGTTGGTGACAATAACGAGCTCTGCATCTTCATCGGGACCATCGCTGGTGCCCTCCGACTTGATCTCCACGTCGCTCACAGGCTCCTCGATCATCGTCGGTGGCGATCCCTCGAGTGACACCGACGTACACCGACCACCTGCCACTTCCAGCTGCAGTCTCCAAAACAATCGCACGTGACTCTGCGTGAAGGTTCCCGCGCCCCGGAGAGTAGAGTGTCGTGTCGTCAGGAGTGCAGTGCTCACTCGGTGTTAGTACGACACAGTCGGTGTCTTCGTTCCAGGGCAATGTTGTATCAGGGCCCCGAGTAGCTGGGACCGCTGCAGCGGGTTAGTTGCTTGCGCCCCCAGCAGGTTGTGGGGGCTGCGCGGTCCTTCCGGACACTCGCCGCCTCTACGACACTTCACTGTACCGCCAACAACAGTTCTTGCCGCTGCCTGCTTAACAACAACATGCTATTTCGCGGCCAAATTTGCTCCTTGAGTCTCTGAACGTAACGATCTCGCATCGGCTAAGGTGGTACGCTTCTCAGCTGAGCGGGCGCATCTTGAACCGCACTGGTACCACAGTCAAAAGAAGGCGCCAACTTTGGCAAGTTCGCTCTACAACAATTAAATAGGCATTTTCGTGCGGTTTTTTGTGTTCGGTTTTCAGGATGGCCGACTTCCTGGCCTAGCGGCGAAGAAATTAAAAGTTTTGGCACTTACTTTTTCCGCGTAACAGTGATTATTGACAAAACAGTATATTGTCAAAAATCACTACCATTCACTCGTGTATGGTATACGGGATAGCCAAATATCGTCTCGACGCGAGGTTACAGCAATTCCCTTAAGTTAAACGAAGTGATTTGCGGGAAGAATCACCAAACTATATCAGTTAGCTGTGTAAAAAATACGTTTGTGGTACGCTGTTTTGATACGAAGTTGGCAACCCTGGGTGTGAATGGTGCGACTTATTCCGAATTTTAACGGTTGGCCCTCTCCACGAGTGGCGGAGTACACAACAGAAGAAGTATTCTCATCTCAATGATAACAGAGCAGCATGCGTTTCGTCGTCAGAGTGTAGGAAGGCATCGAAGCTGGAGGGTCGCGTTGAGAAGATAACAGCGCTCTTCTCTACGGTCAGGCCACTGCTACCAACATGGTAATGCGGTACTGCACTGTTTGAATATATATACACACACCCCGCAAATGGCAATTGTGTTACAGGCTGTGCATCAAAGTTTCAAATCGTTTGTGGGAAGAAAAATTGCCCCCGAAAAACCTAGTGGTATCAGACTCCCCAGAAGAGTTGCACGGAAGGAATTTATTGTTTATTGTTGAATATCTACGAACAGCGAATTTGCTACGCAGTTGGGTAGCTTGATTAGTTCGCCCGGCCATGTGTGGACGCAAAGCGAAGTGTTTGTGTGTGTGTGTGTGTGTGTTTGAGGGCCAGTTAGTCTGCCTGCCCGCCCGCCCATTGAGAGTAAACGTGATGTGTCGTTCAGCTGGACGTTCCGCTACTGCGAAAAGTAATGGTTCTGTCTCAGCAGGTAGAAGTAGAATGTCCTTTTGTTTTTTTCATCTACGTGTGAGTTGTAATAATAATAGTAATAATAATAACAACAAAAACACAAAAAGGCGGGCATCGCATTTTTGCGTCGGGACTTTCTAGCGCGCCTCTTTAAGGAACAACGGTCGGCGGTTTCGAGAGGTCGCACATTTCCAGGTATTGAAGCTAGTAAAATTTAACTAATTTATCCTCTCGAGTGATTATAATGAAGGTGTGTATGGTTCGTTGTACATGTGAGGTGATTTCTAGGTGGAGCAGGTGGAGCACACGCACACTGTGGATACTTCACATGAAGACATGGTCGTAAGTACACGCTCGGGCATTACTATGCAAAATCTGCTCTGTCGCAACACCGTCTCCGTGATTCCTTCTTTCCCCGATATTTGCCATCCTTTTTGTTCAAACAGTGTTGACGTCATAACATATTCGCCGCGTGTGTTCGGCTGGTGTTATTTGGTATCGCATGTTATAATCAGCTGATCATGCTGTTGTTTCTACAGAAACATGCGGAGAAACCAAGCGTGAAATTTTTGCGTGAAGTTTCACTTTACGTTGTGGGTCTTGGTTAGGTTTTGTAGTCAACAATATATCCCAGTGAAGTATGGCTATTGAAATTAAGTAAATGAGAATAGATAAAAAAAAAATATGCGCGCTTCCCATGGGCCGCATTTTGTCCTTTCATGTACCCTATGTTTGTTACTGGGCATTTTGTTAGTGAATAAATATAAATCACGGAGATGTTCGGTCTTGCTGTAGTAGAAAAGGTCGTCTTTGTGATAGACGAAGTGCGATCGGCGGCTCTGCCTTTCTATATCTAGGTGTTCTAATTATTTGATGGATTAGCGATCACATACGAACGAGCATATTTACGGGCTAGTATAGTACCTTGTAATCTACGCTGGAGTTTGTGTAAACTGAAAGTAGGGTAGGCTGTCTTCGACATAACATCTACCCAAAGTAACATGCTTCCGTCCTGCTCCGGGTGACTCTGGTCGCAGAGCCAGTATATATGCTATTTAAGTTTATACGTGTCGAAAAGCTTGCCTTGCTAGACGAACTGTCCGCCTGTTTTGCGTCAAGATTATACGTACCCGATTCTAACGACCGTAATGGAAATCTCAAAGCTAATCATGCTATGCTAACGTGTTTTAATGCGTAGCTAATTTACGAAATGAAAACGTTGTACGAAGCCGTTCATGCTGCTACTACTACATCGAAAGGTACCTGTTGCGTCGTGTGCCTACACTTTGAGCCCTTGATACCTAGGCGGGGGCAGTCACCATCTATTTTTAGAAGCTATTTTTTAAGGTAACTTTTTGGCTTTTGTTGGGTCAATATGTAAAGCAAATCTAGATTGTCGCATAAGCATGCGGACTGCTGTGTTATCTTTAGGCCTACGTGAAATGTAACAGTGTTAAATGATGCAATTGTTTTTCTGTGTCTTATTGTTTTTTTTTGTATCGTAAAATCCTAGGCGTTTATTGAAAACAGTTAGACCAAGGGTGCTTTGCTGGCGATAGGAGCTCTGAAAGTTACCATCTATCCGCAACATATAAATACACAGTAAAATTTTGACGTATGCAATCAGCTTATTCTCCAAAGTAAGTTCTAAATCGCAGCTGTTGTGCAGCGTGTCTTGCCAATTCTGCGCAGCTAGGTCTACTCCGCTTTCTTTCTGTTGTGCTTTTGAACCGTTATCGTCAGCAGGCGAGCGGACTGTTGCAGTGCTGTTATGACAAACGTACTATTCATGTATTCGCCGTGACCGCTGGCATACCTTGGTTAGCACATTCTCATTTCAAGTCTCTATTTCTCTCGCTGCCCCCCGTGCTATTTTTTCCGTGTCTGCTGAAACCACTGAACTACGTAACAGGGATCCCGAAACAACTCAGGGCTTTTTATTCCTAACCTTCTTTCCGATAGTTTTTTTTCACTGCTCTGCATTCGCTCCCTTTCTTAGTTTTGTTGTCACGGAAGCAGCGGTCGCGGCGGTATCCTGCCGATCTACCAGTAAAAGGTGTTTCTTTGAAGTTGAGTTTGCAGCTGCTTGCTACGAGTGCGGTCTGCCGTTTGCTACCGGCCTGTGATCTGCCGTGCGGTCAGGCGGCAAGTTAGTTGGTGGAAGCGTATTGGCTACGCACTGACCCACAATGCTCTTATGGGTTGCGTGCGAGATGTCTACAACCGCTAGCGTGGGGAGCGACCACGATGGGGCGAAGTGCCTGGAAGGGTATCGACACGACATGATGTTGACAACGAGATTCTCATTATAGAGACTCGTAGTCGATTCGTGTGCCGGGCCTACGATTACCACTGCTGTTCGCTGCAGAGGTTGCTGTCGGTTATAGAGTGAAATGGTCAGCAACCGATGCTCCGCGGTTGTTGGCTGACGCTACGGTAGCGCAGCAACGTTTAGATAAATGTGTAGCAGCGGTGGGCCAATGGGCTGCTGGTCCTAGTGGTTAAAGAGACGCAACTGAAAGTTACAGGTAACTGTAAAAGCAAGCCCCTTTTTACCTGCTGGCTGTAGGCAAGTTCTGTGCAGGTTCACTGGCTATTCCAGCAACAGTAACGATTGGTACGGAGGGCCTGCGGGTGCTATATTTGCCTCTGTTGTGTAGTGGCGATTTAACGATCATCGTAAATGTGTACTATGCGAAGAGACGCTCATTACTTGTCTGTCGTAGAGCGAGCTATTCCAGCCTCAGTATTGACTGTGTGTAGTGCATTCGAAATGCGTATCGAGCGTCAAGCGCCCCAGCGCTCACCGGTAAGACGAAGCGGAGAAAGATAACGATTAATTGATTGCTAAATCGAATCATGCTGTTGATATGTAAATGGATTCGTTGGTTGGAAAAATTGACAGACTGAGCAGTCGGCCAGCACCCAGCGCCAGTTAAAAAGACGTCTTTCTTATGCATAAGGTAGAGCGGTAGTGTAGGTTGGTAATATGTGTAAAAAAATTATATACGTATGTATATACATTAACTCAAAAGCTACGGGCATATCAGCTCAGCCACGATGCTTGCCCTATGTGTAGTCAACTCTTGACATAAATAATTATTAGTTTGAAAATAGCAGTGACTATATATGGAGAAGCTTGCAGAGTCGTATTTGTTGGGAATAGCGACGTAATCGTGGGTTTTGATTATATTTTGTCGCCTCTCAAACATGACAATTCACACATACTCCGCATCATTGTTCAATAATGGCTGGTGCTTAAACTTAATGACAAATTATTGGATGCAAGTCAACACCTTTTTTAAATGATATTGTTAATTTTTTCCACACAAAAATGCTATTCACGTTTATAAATGCTGCTTAGTTCCCAAAGTAACCTGAAACTTTTGATGGGCATAAGGATTACAAAATCTGTAAAGACAAAAAATTGATCTATCACACTTCATCAACGAAATACCGCCAATCATGCATAAGTTTGTATACCGTTACATATGTTTTTCTACAACCGAATAACATATTAGTCCAGCGCGTAATAGGAATTATGCATTTCATACATACATATCTAAGATATCTAAGGAACACTCTTAAAAGTCTAAGAGTCGCATACGGTGAGCCCTGTCCTATTTTTCATGTAGCCATGTCGTTTTGGGAATAGACTACATTGTTAGGACTTTTTGCGGACACCTCTTGTTGCTAATGATAAGTTCATTAGTAATGTTTATATATAAGATACAATACATATACCCAACCTACGATCCTCAACTGCGTTCGCTTGTCAGCTGACTTAGAACATGATGTAAGTTAAGCTCTATTACGGTGCGCACAGATCGATTTAAGCATTTCGCATCATTCTTATTACATAGTAGTCCTAATTTAATCGATAGAACGGATGTGTACATTGCGAACAAAAACGCGTAACAAACGCATTGCGCTGCCAGTTGAAAAAATTAATGTAAGCTATTGAACAATAAAGTCCTCTTTTTAAAAGCGTCTCATCATGCCCTGGTATAATTGATCCTCGACGAGGTCCTTCGGCTGAGCACTGTGTGCCAAAGTGCATGTGTCAAGCCATTTCCAGTAGTCACTTTCTATCAACTTGAGCTGTATAGCTTGTTTAGTCAACAGCCACATGGAGATTAATAATGGGAATAAATCGGAGAGTGTTCGGTGTCCTTTAATGAAACAGTAGTGCAATGGATATTGTACCGCATCGTATATACCGTACCGTATGTACTGTATCCTAGAATAGCGTTTGAAATTATAACGAGGATAGAACGCAGTAATGCAAACTCGAAGAGCCATGGTCACGATAGTAAACGCTGGATAAAAGCCAGATTGGTGTGTTCGCGATAACTCTTATTTTACGACCGGAAAGTTTAGCAGAGGTTGCTGATTTTTTTTTTAAACCTATAATAACTCGAAGTTCGGCTGATTTTAAGCCTTCCCGCATCTTTGTTCAGCAGAGAGACATAGCAGAGACAGGAACTTGTCCGGAGTTTAGAGAAATCTCGAAAATGTAATGGCGACAGCTTATTTTAAGGTATTTAACTATAAATAAATTTATCAAAGAGTTGTTAAACACTTTCCAGACCCCAGTAAATTGCATAAGTAATATGTTGCTAATGTTAAATTTTTACTATGTCAGAGAATAATAGACTCCCGAATTGGTAGTTGGTTGATTGGAAAAAGGCTTTTCAATTCTATAGAAGTATAGAAACATACTCGTACATGCAAACTTTTTTTAATGAAAAGTTTCAAGCCTGTGTATAATCGTTGAGTCAACTGAGATACACTGGAATGGCACCATGGAATTTTTTGCAATTAAATACAACATGGGATACTTTAAATGGCATCTGTTGTTATGGACGCGATGTGTCCTTTAAGTAACTATTGTAACTAGCCAATGCGCTTAGAAAAAATGGTATTTTGCAATACTAACCATCTAGTGGAAGTGGATTTGGATTAATCTGCTTCTCTATTTGCACTGTGTTACATGTATTTGTAAGTAGATGGTCTTTCAATCGAGAAGGGCTTATAGCAGTTGTGTGGTCCAGTCGGTGTCAGTTGTTGTCCCTTGTTACAAAGGCTCAATAATCAGTTAATAGTACTAAAAAGATCAGTTGGATTCGTGTCATGCTTTACGCTGTTCTGCTCGTCGTCATCTGTCAAATGAAACCGCTTCCTTGAAATTTGAGTTTTCTCGATAAAAAGTCTAAGACAAATTATATTATTCTTAAGCGATTATGTTCTCTAATTTAGTCAGATCTGAAGTTTTTTTATAGGTTAGTGTATAGCTAACTTAAATATAAAAACTCAACATGCATTTTTATTATATAAACTTCAAGCAAGCTCGGTTAACGAGAGTACGAGACCATTACTTAGCCTGAGGCTCGGCCCCATGCGGATTATCGCGTTAAATCTTTTTTAAGTTGATCTTAACAAAATTCATCAAAACTCCTTAAATGTAGATTATTACTGACGTTAAACATCTTGTTAAATAACCATTGATTTTCACAATGCCTAAACTTTTTTACCGATTTCTAATCAGCCGTTTATCATGTTTGATAATAATCTGCGATTCAACCGTTGTCGTAAATCGTGGATCTCTCAACCTGTTTTTTCCTTTTCTACCTGCTATATAATATAGTATCTTGAACGTTCATCAGTCAAAAGAGTTACATAGCTAAATCGAATCAGCCGAAACGGAACAGGATTAAATAGTTGAAAAGTTGTGTTAGACTTATCTTCCTTTTTTCCCTCGTCTTCTCGGTATTTCAATTGCATCTAACTCTAATCATAGCATGATGCCCAAACCGACGCTTACGGATTGTACCTTGCAACATGCTCGTCGGACAAAAAGGTGAAAGTGTTTGACATATCCGACAACAAGAAGCCCTTGTTGATCAAAACGCTCGAAGGTCACGAAGGTCCTGTGTGGCAAGTGGCCTGGGCTCATCCGACCTTTGGAACGATCCTTGCCACGTGCTCCTACGATAAGACGGTCATCGTTTGGAAAAAGGGTCCTACTCCAGACGACTGGACGAATATCTTCACCTATAAGGTATGTGCAACGGCTTTTAATTTAGCTATGTAATTGTTAAGATACAGAAAACTAACAAAAATACGCATAGTGTTTTCCAGAAATCTCCGTTTACGTCAAACTATTGGAAATAACGCAACTGAATAGTGTTCAGCAGCATTAATGGCTGGTTGCAATCGACAAATAATAAGTCCTTGAAGTCAACCGTTTGACAAATGAGTGCTTTAATTTTACATTAGGTACATCAGCTTTTTCTGACATAGACCACTTAATTAGTAGTGAGCCAGTAGTTGTCCCTGTTTAATAGCTATATCTTCAGAAGATCCACCTTCTGTCACATTAACTTTTAGGTCCACTAGAAGTTTATACAAGCGTGTAAAGTAGAACAGTTATGAAAAACACGCATTACACTCGCTTAATTTTGCCCTGCACGGTGCGGTTTAAATATTTTTTTGGCGCTGATATTAATGAAAGCAATGAGCCTAATTAATGTTTGGCAAAAACCATTGACTGCTATCGAAATAGCTTATTATTAACCATATAAGAAGAATGAGAGCGAGCCAATCGACCAAAAAAAATCGCTACAACTCAGATTAGGTTTAATTATCCTCAAGTAGTTGGGCCACAAGCAAGATATAAGAAAAGTCCGTGTCAAATTAGGTTCAGCTGTGATCGCATCGGAGTCAACATATAACCAATCTAAGTGTTTCATGTTTTTGATGACTTTCGCATTTTAAAATCCACGCGGATTCGCACAGCGCTTACTTCGCCGTTAATACATGCTAGCCAATTAGTACGTGGCTGGTTGACTAGCATGTGCTACGTAAACCTCGTACACGTGTTTTGTCTTTGACGTCCTATTTTATAACTGCTCATCTGGAGACAATTTATCTGCAGACTATTCTAAGACATCCTCTAACCTGCATATGAACATGTCCTTCTGTGCCCTGTTTGCAGCGGTGCACTCTCCATTAGCTTAGTTTTTTCACGAAAACGCAGTGCTCTGGAAATGGATAAATGACAAACGCGCCCGTAAAAAGAGATATAGGGTACTGCCCATATTCGGCTATATAGGCGAACTAAGTTATTTTGATGTAAACAAAGGCCGATTTGGAAGCGATTATGTAAAATTTTACTATTTCATCTTGACGCCTATTGATCGGTGGTGCTGCGTGTGTCATTGATGCGTTGCGTTAATTCATTATAGAAATCTGGTGAGGATGTGTGTGGCTTCCTCGAAGAATTCCTACTCCCTAAGGAAAGTAGGAACGAGACCTGGAAAGAAATGGAATCCTCAGGAATAACGAAAAGTTGAATGAATCAAGTACGGAATATTAAATAGCACAGAGAAGATTCCAACGGCATAAGGGAAAATGTGCATTGCACCATATAGCTTCAGATGCAAACTTAGTGTGGACACCAGCCCACACGAATGAGTGTTTGTAGTCTAAGCTTGTTGGAACTAACGGAACTGCAGAATGAAATGTTGAGGAGCTCAGTAAATTATTTAAAATAGGGTTGTACACCACCAATAGAGAACCCTTCACCTATCGGAATGCGTGCCCCCGTAACAACTTGCTTAAAGTAAAAGATTTTCTTGAAATAACATATCGATTGTGATTGAACATACAGGGTATTCCTTTTTGTTACCTCATTTCGAACGCGTAAAGTTATTAAATTGACCTAATCGAACTTTTTGTCATCGTCATTCTTGGCCCTGTTAGCGAAGAGCACTCGCCAAAACCCAGACTACCCAGTTAATCAGACAAATGAATATTATCTATTCATTCCTTTCATAGAACTGGGTTGCCAACAACAGCAGCCACGAAGCTAAACGTTTCTGTCACCTTGTCGTCGCCACTCACGTTGATAGACATGGAAATCTTAATTATCTACTTCATGAGCATCATCGCTACAAACTATTCATCTCGAAATTCTTGAGGTTCGATGGTCAGTGGTCGGTGAAGCTGCTCCTTGAAGTGCAATGCTTCATATGCGTCCCGCCACCGTAGTAGTCGGCATATCTTGTCTCGTTATAGGTAATCGCACTTCCACGGCAGGAGCCCTTGGCAGGTACGCTATGGTGGCCCGTCGCTTGACCAACAGAACAAAGCAGTCGGCTTGGTGCATCATTGTCTTTTCTTCTCTTTTTGTGATGGTTCGGCGCAGTACATCAGTTTGACGCTGTCGATTTGACCACCAACATCACCATTGTTGTTATCTGTTACTACGATTGCCACTTTTGTTAACTGTCTTTGCTCCGCCAGCGTCAGATGGCCTATGATCATCGAATCAACGCGGAAATCAGTAGCGGATCGTGCAGCAATTGTTATAATGAGATTGGCTTATTACCGCCCGTTGCTGTTGTTTTTATTGTTGTTGCTGCTGCTGTCACTCGAACAACCGTAATAATAACTACCTTAAAGCAAGCTGATCTCTGCTTTATGTCGTAAGTTCTTAGATAATTAAAATATGTTGGCGATTTTATAGCTTAGCTTACTTACTCCGAGGCATGTCTGCCATTATTAGGTCAGTCAATGGATCGACCCCGGCAACTTGACTTATTGAGTGTCTTACACATTTCGCTAGTAGGAGGAAGAGCATTACATTATAACAAGCCGAGCAGGAGAAACGGTCAGCGAGAGTGAAACGTACATAGATAAAAACAGAGCTATAATACACAAGTTTGAGTTGTGGATGAAAGGCGGACTCACAACTTCGCTGCTGGTTGGATTCCTGCGGTCGCCTTTCTTGATGATGTGTAGATATCTATATGGTAATAGCAGTGGGAAAAGCAGCACGTGGATTTGCTCTGGAAGATGGCAGCGGAGGCGGCAGCAGCTTCTGTTGCTGTTACGGTTGTAGCTTCTTGTCGCTAGAAAATATCATGCATGATCGTCTTCGGCGATACGCAGGCGATACGGAGACACTGTATGACATTTTTATCGGTGGCTTGTTACAGCTATTCGCTGTCGCTAGTGCAAACAAAAAGATGTAATGATCCCTTGCGGTGGATGGCGCGATTGTAAGTCTGCGCTTATCATGAGAACATTTACGAATCAGTAGGCGATCACTGCACGTCGACACACGTTTTCTGATAGACGATATTTAATAGGGTGAAACTTTATATAACAAAAAATATAACAGATCTTATTGTGTCCTGCAAGCGGCAGTGCTGGACTGTCGGGCTGATATATACATCTTATTTAGACAACTTTACGAAAGCATTTTCGCACTTTACGATAAAAAACTAATTACGAGCCCCAGTTGTGTTTGTTATAGTTGTTATAAACAGTTCAAACGAACACACAAGAAGCCTCACGGAGAGATGAAGGGAAAAATATGTAAGCGGATGTAATGTGACTTTTTCAATAGCTATATTCGCTCAGATGGAAGCGTGTGAATCGCAATTAATCCTCTTATTTCCATTAACCAAACTAAAGCCAAACTAGATACTGTAAATATTGCTGAGATGATAATGGCTATTGTCTGCCAAGGACGCAGACTCAACAATTAAATGACCTACATGGTGATTGTTCGGAAATATGTAGGTGTATAATAAAAATGCTTCCAAAGTATTTGTTCCGCTTATTTGTACCAACTATACAATATTATTGTTTAATCTCAACGCATGTTCGGGATTTAATTATGGCACACATACATGAGCGCTAATATTAATCGTTTTCTACAGATCGGGTTCAGTAATATCAACATACATTATTAGCAGAAGCGGAGTACCTATACATGGCTAGCTTTCAAATTAAGTACGGGCTATGAACATAGTTCTCCTCCTGATGGCAATTTCTAATATGCATGTATATGTCTAGAGACTTGTGGTGTAAAAGGCAGAACATCGTCTGCCACCTCGGAGTAAAGTAGGGAGACCTAAAAGTAGTTAGAACGGGAGATGTATTTAAAGAACTGGCGTAAAGTTTGGTATTGCTCAATCTCAGCCGTGTCATTTGAATAGAGCCAGTTTTTTTCGAAGTGGTTTTGCCGGAGGTGCACTTGAACGCAGCTACAGGCCCTGAGCGGGATGAAAAAGCTTAAACTTACTTCAAGTTTTCACTTTGCATGCGTATCTAATCTTCAGAGAGCAAACAGAAGCCTGATATAATAGATATTTAATAAGCAAGTCTATAAAAAAAAGTTACAATTTTATTATTTTTATGTATGACCTTTACGAATATGCCTAGTAAATTTTCCAAGCGAATGGTAGAATAAAAATATCTGTTCAAATGTTGTTGAATCGGGAATCTATGTACGCTGCCAAACAGAGTCGCAGATATGTTAAAATGTAGAGAAAATAGGTTTAGGAAATAAATTTAGGTTTGGATACAAATCCTACGATAGCAGTTAGTCAAAAGCAATTCATGTTTATACTATATATATATATATATATATATATATATATATATATATATATAGTATAAACATGAATTGCTTTTGACTAACTGCTATCGTAGGATTTGTATCCAAACCTAAATTGTTTCTGTACAAGCAGCCTCAACATGCACGTGTAAATAGCAAAACAATGCATGGAAGATTTTCGAAAATACATGCGATGAAGATAACTTACAAAGACTTACAAAGAAATTTGATGAGTAGAATTGGCTGATCTAATCGCCGCCATAGTATACAGGACACAGACGCTGTGGTACACAGCGCGTAGTTCGTTAATGATTTCTAATCAATAAGTTGAAATCGTAGCCTTAAACGTTTGTTCCAATTAAATTTGTCGTCAACGCCGTTCTTCGTGAGCACAGCAGCCACCCAACCCACTACTGATTGATCTGGCTATTGCACAGGATCAGCAACTTCTCTCCATGTGTGAAAATCAATCAAAAAGATCGGCATTATCCGTCCGACGACTGTGATACTTGGCCTTTATTATTTTTTAACGCATTGAGGGAGAAAACTTGGTTGCCCTCTAAAACCCCATGAACAACGTTTTTCTAAATACACTTAGTTTGACTTTCCTAAGCGGTCAGTTGATCAGCACCACTAATTTGCCCATAGGACCTAAGTCAGTAAATTCAAATCTAGTCTGGATTTACGTCGCAACCTTCACACTTGGAGAAATGGTAACTAACATGGAGAGTTACCATTTCTCCATCAGGTATATATTTATTTAAGTTCAAAGACTGGGCAAGCCTAGGATTCGTTTCGTTTCGCTTCTTCCAGGGTCTTAAACTTTTTCTAATCCTAATGTCGCCGCGAATTTGCGACACTCCAAATGACTAATATTTTTATTTTCCTTTAGCCCCGAACCTCTTGAATAAAGTGCGAGTTTACGAAAGTTCATGAATTGTTTGCTTAAGCTGCACAAGAGGAGTTCCATCTGGTACAACCAAGTGCGACAAAATTCGTTGAGCATAATTCTTTTTCTTGTAACAGGTAGAATATCGTTTTCTTGCCTCCACGCGATTATTAGAGGGATGACTTTATTGATTTTTGCTGGTCCGAATTGCTTATCCAGAACCTGTTTTTCATATTTGATATAACTGGGATCTGGATCAATTCCATCCAAGCTTAATAGAATACTGTTCACCATGTACACCTACCTGGAAGTAGACTTTCATGAGAAAAGAAAGCTGGGCCGATTTCGACAGGTAAATTTCTGTGCGAATTGTCGCTTCTTCCAAGGAATGCTTGTGGCATAATTTCTCACATTATTTGAATGATACATTTATCGCTCATGTCTTATCCCGCGAACTTGATCAATGCTATAAGTTAAATCAAATTTGTGGGTGATCGGTTTATTGTGTGAGAGAAGATATAACATCGTTTTGTCGAAAAGTGTATATGCCTTCATTAATGTTTTCTTAACCAAATGGGAATACAGTGACGAAAACAGCAGAGTGAACCAGCGCTAAATGAACATTTGAGTCGTACGAGTTGCTTTAGTATACATAGTTCCCCCTGACTATAAATTTGTTTCTTAGCACCAGAAGATGCATATATATGATTTTTTTACTATCCGGTTGGAGAATAACAAATGCGATCGACTGGCGTAATTTCGCTGCGTACAATTTAATCAAATTACTGGTAAATGGCCAATTTTTTTCACCACAGGAAATCTATTCGAAGAAGCTTTGACGAGCAGAACTCATCTTCTGATCCTATATGTTCATCACCACGACTATGAAGATACGTTCCACAGATACAATAGTTGATGTCTATAAATTTAACAAAGCTTAGTTAACTTACCCTAAACGATACCTAGGTTAGTTTAACTGCGAACTCACGCTTTTCAGACGGAACGGTTTCATATGTTTGAAGTCGAACCGAGTAGTGTTCAAACCAAAAGTTCGTTATACACTTCAATTCTATAAGCAGTAGTTCCCAACTGGTTGTAACGTGACGCCTTGACCAATTGAAATTTTATAACGGGAGTGTCTGGGGTGTGGTAGGTTATCAACTTAACTAGATGAAACGTGCAAAACCTTTCCGTGATAGGTAATTGGTGTGTGCGTACTAAACGGTAATCCATATCCATCGGATCGAAAGTTGACAACGTGCTGGTGTCTGAAAGAAAGGGGCGAGGCAAAAACCGATGCTCTTTTGTTGTAATCGTAACAACGAGGATCGTCGTAAATCCTTGAATTCCTAAGTACACATATTTTGTATGGCTATCGTTTACATTGCGAAAAGATGGCGGTTTTTTGTGGTCTTTTGTGCTCTGCGTGTACGTTGATGGCCCTTGACTCAGGGTGTCACAGGCTGCCCGTGTAATCGCATTGCATTTTTGTTTTTGTTCAGAATTCTTTCGTTATTAAGGATGGGCTTAGGGGATACGCTCATTATGCCCCATTTCTATTATATTAACGCAACGGAATTGCGTTTTAAGCCTTTATTTTTGAGCGCACATTCACACTTGACTAAGCGACTATCAATAAATAGAACGTGTGAAGATACCTTATAAAATATAACTTCATGACTCAGCGTATCTGGGTGCCCAAATAATTTGGAGGAAGGCTAACATGTAAGTATTTTGCCTATACCCTGAACACTAATGAAAAAACTGGAAAAACGCTTTCTTAGTCATCACATATGGTGGAAATAGCCACCCTCTAACAACAGTGTTTATAGAGAATGTCAAATGACATATCTGCGACATGTTCTTCAACTTTACGCCTTATAATTGAAGTTTTCTTTTTTAGTTCCTTCACCAGCTATAATGATTACCTGGTTAAACTAGCACGTGCAATAATGAAGCTTTAGCTATATTTACAAAACTAGCTGAAGAAGCTTACGAAGAACCCGCCATTTCGGTGAATACGTGCTCATGATAGTGAACATTTATCTTAACAAGTTGGTCATACACCTTCTCTATTCGTGTCGGTGGTATCAAATCTCTTTTAATATGATCCAGCTGAATGACCTTAAATTTATTAATAACTGTCTCATAGATTGGTACAGTACATGTACGTGTTGTGGTAGCCTTTGACTACGTAATATATAATAAAGATAGCCAAATCTGATAGATATTCGTAAGCTATATTACTTGACCCAAGTCTACATTTAGAGAGGCCTATAAGAGATATGTGTACAACGCCCTCGGCGTTCTCAATGGGCAGTATATAAAATTTATATTATGTTCTATATACAGAGCATACACACACCTACCTGATTTATATCCGAAGAAAAAGGTAATGAATACAGACATGGATCAATAGATTTTGTTGTCGTTGTTCCAGTTGTATCAGTATTGTGAAAGCTCGCACCTTGGGGTGTATGGTATGGCCACGACAAGGTGGACACGTACTGTGCCGATCTGCGTATAATTATTAGTAAATTTCAGGCCATTCAGTTGCACTGTATCAAAATATGTGTGGCATAAGCAACAAATGAAAGGATTACTTAGTTGTGGTTCTGCTGTTGCCCTCTGTCCTATAACTCGCTCGTGTCGGGGCCGATGTCGTACGGGCGGCATTGATGTTGCCATTATGCAGGAGCATACGTCATCGGTAAACTCGATCAACTGGGCTCCGCATGAGTTCGGCCTGATTCTCGCCGCTGGCAGCTCGGATATGACGGCCTCCGTACATACCTGCATCACCGAGACACGGTTTGTGAATCAATTCTAAATCATTGAGGTCTCACAGGACACCGATAGTTCTTTTAGATAATTAGCAATAAGATTGGATGGTGAGAGGCAAAGATCTTCGCAAATAATAAAGTATAAGAAAATTACTACATCCTCTAAAGCCTGCCGATGTCAAATATGATCCAAGTAAGTTGAAGTTACAGTTTGAAGCAAATAGTTATTGTCAAGGTGGGCAGATTTTCTAATAGGCATCTTTAGTCTTACCTTTTACCATATTTGATTTATGTGTTAGATACCTGCTGGTGCATCATCCACTTCTGCTCGATCGTTCATCAGATGTTTTTTCGACGTTTATTATTTGAGCTGGAAACAATAATACGGTTTTCATGCAAAAGCAGAAAAATTTGAGTTCGAATAAGTTTCCAAAAAAGAAACGAAAACCCACGTTTATAACGCAATATCGCAAGAATCGAGCATCCCTGTATACCTGTGTGTGGATAGCAATGACGATCATTATTCTTGTATGCGCACTGGGGCTTCAAACCTTACTTCTAGGTGGGAATCGGTGAAGATAGAAGCGCATAACGTAGGCTGCAATGCGGTCAGTTGGGCACCGGCCCTACAGAATCGGCGCTTTGTCACAGGTGGCTGCGACAATCTAGTGAAAATTTGGAAGTTAGATGAAGAAGCTCATAAATGGATTAACGAACATACTCTGGAGGGACACACTGACTGGGTAAATATTCTCTCTTTTAAAAAAACTTTTTCTATAACTGACAATTGTTATTTACAAACATCGTGTAACATCTAAGAACAATTTGTTTCTCTTCGACATTGAAAATTCAATATGGAGGACCTACATATAACTAACGAAATCTGCAAAATGTGAGTGTCTAGCTTCGAATCTACTGGGATTAGAGGGTGATGCGTGGCGTCATTACGATAATAACAGTATTACGAATGCGGCTGGTTGTTTTATCAGAACACGTCATCGTATTTCGATTGCTGCACGTTAATGTTAACCCCAGAGGCACCCCAGCCAACTGCCAGCAAATGCGCTTTATACACTTACTTACCAGCTAATAATGGTTATTGGCAAACCTGTCTCTGTCTTGTGTGTTTTACGATCAGAACTGCCGTTAAGCGTTCCATCAGGTGACTGGGTCTCAGCACAGAACAGTGTGTTTATATCCGGATTCGAACCTAGACATAGACAACGTTTTCATAATGCTAGCAGACAAATACATTACCATATACTAGGCTACCACGGGGGCGAAGAACGACGGGATTATTGGTTGTCTTAAGCGTATTTCGAATGCCAGGTTCAATCGGCGATATCGCTCTCGAATGAAAAAATCATTGATATTCCAACGGGTTTTAAATGTAATAGCCTCTGAGATAGTTACAGTTGGGCCGTCAACTAATTTTATCGACTTTAACTTTGCCTGTTAAAAACTGCTTCCCCGCAGTGCGACAAGGATGTAGACTGAGAGTCACTGGAATACTTTTGCTTATTTGAATGATTTCAATTTTAATATCTAAAACTAATGCCGGAATTTATGCTAAAGCGGAACAGTATGTTCGGCTTTTGGAAGGTACAGCATGATTTCTAATGCTTCGTTGACCTGTGCTCGGACCAATTCTGCCTATTTCGTGTGCTTTGATGCGACGGGTTCATCGCACGCAACGGATATGCCGTAAAGACATCGCTGGAGCGATCGCGCTGTAAATAATGAACTAAGAAACTAGTCGTTAACATCATTTTGTGGGGAGCGGACTAATTTGGTCCTTATCCGTTCTTGCCGAATCCAGTAAACGTATCAGCACGACGAACAATATCGATCTGAGAAAGGTTTAGAAAACGAATATTTTCATTTTCAGTGGTTTCAAAATTTTTTTTTTAACCTTTTCAGTAATCCGTCTTGTCATTATTGGGAAAGCTGTACGGTCGATTTTAGCTACTATTGATTTTTATAAAAGGAAGGAATGCTGTGTTGTCTTCAATTCAACAAAACTGCTATCACCGATGCAAGAGCGATTTTACCCTAACGGGCTTTTATTTGTACTGATTTCTGTTATAGGCGAAACATTGTACTTATTTTAGGTTCCTAGACTATTTATTGACAGTTCTTTACCCTAACATCAATAAAATTAAACTTTTGAATCAGGAATGAACTTTTAAAAGATAAGCCATTTTATCTCGTAAACAAGAGGAATTCGTAGTATAAGAAAGAGTCATTCACAAACAAAATTCAATCGAATTCAAACAGTGCAAAGCCAGACGTTCTGTTTGTTGCCGCCGAACTCATAAATCATATATTTAATTTTTCTTCTCTGCTGACACGTCTATTATCGCACCCATTTCGTTGTTACCAGGTTCGTGATGTAGCGTGGGCACCATGTTTAGGTCAGGGACGAAATATTATCGCCTCGTGCGGCCAAGATTGCCGTGTGATTATTTGGACCCAGGAGCGCGACCAGTGGCGTAGGAAGGAGCTTTCCCGCTTTAGAGACGTCGTTTGGTTGGTGTCGTGGGCAATCACAGGGAATGTACTCGCCGTGTCCGGCGGCGATAACAATGTCAGTTTGTGGACCGAGCGTGAAAACGGCGAATGGGACACGTTCAGCGAAGTGAACAACGTGCCGATGCCTCAACCTCTCCCACCGACAAGCCTAGTGCGATCCTCACATCAGCTGGCAGCAGCAAAACAGCTCGATGCTGACTAGTCCGAAATCATAGGGTATTAGTAGTTATTAGTATTATTATGCGGAAACGCAAGCCAAAGCTAAACCTAACGCTGTTGTTGGGTTCACAACGACCGTCGTTGTCCGGCAGAAGACAGACTGTTAATGCTAGCTCAGGTCGTGTAAAGAACGACTAAGCGAGCAATTTACAGAAAAAAAGGCATCAATATGCGCATGAAAACACTATAAATTGACGAATAGTAAATCGAACATGAAGGACGTTGCAGGAAAAATGCAAATACTAAATAAATAATGAGACAGCTGTTAAGGACTCGAACAGAATGCATTAAAAGTGAGAATGGCACCCAGACGACGGCAACGAAATGCGACACTGAGGCAATGGAAGAAAAAAAAGCTACATTATATCTTAGAGCGAGCCCGGGCGGGATTCCACATGCCGATAAATCCAGACATATAGCAGCGCACAAAGTCGTAGACGTCCACGTAACAGCTATTAATGTTCACGTAAGCAATATGTTGGGGCTTTCGTCGACTTTTTCTCGTTTGATTCTTGTGATTGACGAATGTTGCAATGATGACAATTGACGCTGCGTGAATATATCGTTGCTGGAGGCGATCTTGAGTAGGGGCATGTAATGAAACAATTTATTTCTAGGAGTATAGGATTGTGTGTGACCGCTGGGAGTTGCTTAGATAGATGTACGCACGCGCTCGCAACCATGTCAGCCGTTTCCACCTAATTGTTTTCTATATCATCCAAGGATGACTACAAGCGAAGACGGAAATATAAGTAGTATATATATATATATATGTATATATATATGCAGTACATAAATCCGCTTCGCTTGACATGTGCGATGTTGCGAGCGGTCAAGGGAGGGATTGAAGCCCTTAGAAATTAAAATGAACGGAGGATGACGTACAATAAAGTTTTTTGTAAGACGGAATGTTTTACGAATGGCCTAAAATATAATACAGTCAAGCAACCATATAAACGATGTTATAGAACACATACTATGGTAGTCTACAGCATATAATGAGGGCTAAGCTGTGCCTCTGTCATGACTTAAATGTATAATGTTATAAGTTGCCACAAGTTAACGGCTGTCCAGCTTAATGCGAATGGTCCCGGTTAGATCGAATGCGTAACACAGGCTGGAAGAGAGAAAGGATGAATAAGAAATCTCAGCTATTGAATACGGCTTGGTCTAAATTTCGACTGGTTTTATGTTACAAATGATTTTGCATTGCACAGACATATGCTATTTTGTGTTCTTTGAAGTTCTTTACTATTACAAAAAAAAAGAATACTATAATTGTTTTTTGTATTCCTGAGTCTAATACTTACAATGGCAACTTAGTACCGTCGTTTCCCAAGTATTATCAGCCCTTTCGAGCAAGATTACTGGTCAACTAAACTTCTATGTAGATCATTCAATTGATGGCAATTTCCTTCTTGCCTGTTTGGTTTTGAAACAAGGCTTCAATGTGTATCTTGACATTGTCGCATCACATCTATGTTCGAACATTTTTTTGTACATGACTTTATCATTTATGGATTTTTTCTCTTTGTCTGATGCCGTAATTAAATTCATTTAGTTCCTTGGTGAACAGCTGCTTTGGCTCGTACCTTTAAACACTACCAGGTGAAACCATTGTATTGTGAGCGAGACGCGGTATAACCAAAATTGATTCCTTCAGCGATAATTTCAGATACACACGTGACCCTATTTCTGCACTTAACACATGGCGTCTGAGAGAAAAATGTACTAAGATTCACGGTTTTATATCTGCTCCATCTTACCGCCTGTATTAGCGTCTGTTGTATTGTATATATATATATATATATATATGCATGATGTACTTGTACTAACATATTCACTATTTTTGCCAAATTCGATATTCGAAACGCGTTTTGGCGTCACGCTTTTAGCAGCTATACCCAAATATTCGTCATGTGGGTTTGGCACATTATTGGTCACCGGTGGATGTACGTTCGTCGGCGTTCCTGTGTAGGTAACAACTAGCGGTAGTATATTTGAATACTGCCACGATGATATGTCTGTATCGAATCAATAGTTTACGCATAAAAAAGATTTACGCGCTTTTAGAAAACAAATACATTTTACTCGATTTAAAAACTCTTGTAAAACTTGCCATGCCATCCAGGCGAAATTAAAGTGAAATGAGGTGCTGAACTATTGTTGAAGTTAAGCTTTTGACAATATAACAGGGGAAAAGTGACCTCATAGCGTTCTGACGCGATCAACGGGAGACCCTAAGTTAGCTTCACAATAGTGTGAACACTTCTAGCTTGCGTAGGTGATATAACGGCATACAAAAGGATTCAGGTTTAACAGGAGGACGGCAAGATGAAGGCAGAAGTAGGCTTACAATTGACCGATAAGGTATCCTACACTAGGAGACATCAAGTGAACAGTTAAAAAAAAATAAGGCCTACAGTTCAAATAGATGCGACGTCGATCGTAAACCAACATTTCCTCCTAACTGAGGACCTTTTTTCAAACTGTAGATTTTTTCAACACTTTTATAGGCGGTTGGCAAATACGTTACATCAAACGTTTGAACCGATCATTTAAGGGTTTAGTTGTGATAGCAGAACCGGACAAATTTGGATGATTATTACAAGGAAACTATAAGATTCTGTTATTATCTTTATTCCAAATGTATAGATTGATTCTTAGTTAGCTCTGCTAGCCATCTCACAAGTAAACAGATTAACATTAAGCCACATATAATGTTTTTTGATAACTCTCCTCATTCAAGCACAGGTACTTTTTGTAACTCATGTGCATTAGTTCTTTTCCTTTTTCGTCACCTTTTAGCGTATCAGCGCCTACTATTAGGCTAAATTGATAAACACATTTTTAATTGTAAATAGGAACATCCTGGCTGCCTATGATGTACCTAAAAACGAAATTCATTAATCATCATATTAGACAAATCAATTTATCTATTTTAGTTAGCCACTAAATACGTCGATGCGAACATACGAGGTATATCGTATGGCGACAGCATCCACATTTAACAAATAATAGGCCTTTGAACTAAACCACTTACCCGTTTTATATTTTGTGTGCATGAAGGATTTCTAGAGAGGTTGTATGGGTGTTTCAGCGGGCCGTTCAGAAACCAACAAGCGGTCAAAGATAGAGCCGCTAGAAGTTGATTGAAACGGTGATAAATATATAGGTCATCAAAACTCAACTTCCTCGAGTTGAGCAACTGGTTCTCTTGTGACAAGCTGGCATTACCCTTGCTCTGTAACATCTACGTCAATTACTGAAGCTGTTCGTTTGAATGTCGCGTATAAAAGCCGTGAACGCATATTTATCATCGCAAAAATTGTATATAAAATGAAACAGTGTTTGTAAAAAATTGCTGGAGTACGTGCAATGTCGGCGAAATTTCCTACGCCCACCCGTATGAAAGTGACATCCGAGACCCTGCAAGTTACCTGAATTATCTGGAAGATCGAAAAATTTTGTGCGATCCTTTAAATGACGCAAGATTCCAGATATTTTTATGTGCATATGGGCTGCTCAATTAGGTAACAATGTTGTACGTTATTCATGTATTGCATCGCCTGTGTTATATATATATATATATATATATATATATATATATATAGTAAGTGCTTAAGCTAAAAAAGCATACGTGTGTCGCAACGCATGATGCTATCGCACAATTAGCAAAGGCAAGATTCGCCTAACTCATCTTAGAAATATAGTTTAGGTACCAGCACAAAGAAAACTAACCAATTCTATTATTTGCCCTCATAAAAAAATAATTTTTCCCAGTTTTAGCTAAGGTTAACTAAAGACCTTCTGAACTGAGGCATTTGAGAGCTCCATATATATATATATATATATATATATATATATATATATATATAGAATGTAAAATAGTTTGGAGTCTTTGATTTTTTGTTCTTTCACTGCACTTGAGAATAGGAGCCACGGCTGAAATTAATATTGAGCCATGAGTAGGGTGTTTCGTACTTTTAATGAGTTAACAGACAACTATCGCAACGAGAAAGGTCGAATTTGGAGAAGTTGTCTTAGACGATATCGCGACTAGAGTAAAATAGTACGGATTGTGTCATGCGATCACTATATTACTCCGAGTGTGCATACAAGGCAGAAGGGCAGGTTGCATGATGAAAGATAACGCGGATTAATTAAGGCCAGCACGTTATAGATAAAGCGGTTTCTATTGAATTCAATTTTATCTCGCGTATATGTGTATAACGTATAAGGAGATGAACGTTTTCATTTGCCTGTCAGTTGGACTCTTATTTAGACCGCTGAGGCAAGCGGTTACACCAATGGGTACCAAACCTTGTAACAAAGAAAGCCCATTAACAAGCAATGATTCTTGACAACTGACATCTTGTAATGTAACGAAGGCAGGATTACAATGTTTAGTAAAATTCGGCCATTTTATGTATGCACAAGTAGTGAATGATGATAATGCTACCGTCACCCTAAGTAGGGAATAATGATGAGAAACCGAGACGTATTTCCCACACTTCGGATTTGGCATGAGATCTATATAATGATTCAGCCAGATCCATATACATACGTGTGGCTTAATCAGTACGCTTCAAAGTGTGAGTGTACGCAAGAGCTTGCTTTGTACATTTCTTGCTTGTTAAACGACCTCTTTGTAATAAGAGTCAAGGCCATACTAAGTGGCTATCGCGAATTCAAGACTACAAGATATGTAGTTAGCTATAAAGCGGTCACCTAAATTATAATAACGGAGGATGCAGGGGAAAAAGACGGAAGCATTTGGTATTTATTACCTATCCAAACCGTTCAGGAAGATTATGTGAATGCCCTCTGACACCACACCCATAATTTAGCTACATGATTTAATACAGCGCTGAACAATGTATGTAACGAAAGTGCAAAAACAACGAGATGAGAAGGTTAAACAGAACACTGCCAGATGACTTTTATTATTGATGCCATTATTGTCTTGCTTTTATTCCAGAGTATCGAACGATTTATAAAGAACAAATTATATATTATTTCTACGTTTTATAATAGCTAAATATGTATATATGTATATCCGAAAGATTAAAAGATGGCGAAAACTATTGCGATGATACGTGTCGTCTTCACAGAGATCAATGAAAATAAAGAGTTTTGTTTGACATTCGATATGTATCGTCCCTTACTTAAATATCTAAGTGTATGCACAGAGTAATTTTGCATCGTTTCTTTCTTTAAGCCCTTACTTTATATATATATATTATAAGTAATAATGTAGACTATATAATGTCACGCGTACAAAGATCTATGATTGTTGTTTCAGTAGTATTATCAAATGAAATTAGTTCCTTTGTTATAGTGCGAGGATAGCTTTTCCACCGGCAAAAAATCTAGACGTTCTCTTTCATAAGTGTCAGTTTGGTCAAACGCTTGTACAAGATCTCACGTACCAAATTAAAACGTACAAATCAATTTTTAATTAGCTGGATATATAAACGACAACTGTAACTATTGCGAATCTCACAGCAGCAAACATCTTTATTTTCCTCGTTTCTGTCTGATCTCTTTCTGGGTGCAATCCTTTATTGCGCAGCACAACTATGACCAATAACAGACCACCTAGGGATTAGGTCCGTTTACTTCGTTCGATAATACTCTTCTACTACTGTAGCATCTCTAATTACCCCATCAGCAATGATTAATCTGCTCCAGCTCGTCTCTTATTCTCGAACAGCTAAATAATTAGCCAACTATATATTTTACTTTTGATAATAGATAACTATTCCGCTCCTGTTACAGCTTTTCTCGTATGATAATGAAGCTGACGTTAACGGCAACTTTTCAGTGTCAGCGGTCTCAGCATTCTTTTCAATATATAGGGCCTTCTAAGAGTCTAGTTTCACTCGTTGGTTCATCTTTATGCTTTCAATAATATGTGTCAACGAACTGTTTTTCTAGCATCTTTGTCCTTTGTTTTCTTCCCTCGCCTTTCTTTACTTCATCTCATGACCTGTAAAACTATATGTGTACGCATGAATGTATAATAACAATAATAATAATATTTATATATGAATATAGTACATTGGTCTAGCTTTGGCCTTCTGACCACTGCGACCATTTAACTATTACAATTACCACTTCTGTATACCAATATATATA